TATTGTTCCTTAGCCCTCCGTCTGATGGATAAAGGTGTGCTGTTAATGGAGAACTGCAGATACAAGTAATTAAAGCAGCAGGGGGCTTGTATGTGCTGTGGCCTGACGCCCTTTCACTCTCTCTCCCCGTCATTCGTGTGCATTGATTATTATGTCGCTATATAGCCGGAGGCAGTTTTGTCACATTCTAATGATGCCTTTCTTACACAGGCCTGTGTCCCACCAGCCTGGGACAAGTCGTGCCAGTGAGGCCCCCCTTTTGTGCCGTCCCTCCCTCTTTTGCCCCCACAACGTTGCCTCCGTCACCAATCACCGCTGGCGAGGAGCCCAGCGGCTTGGACCTCCCGCGGCGTGGAGGCTGCGCGACTTGATTTTTCTTTTCAGCAGCCCCGAAGACATTGATTATTGCAGAAGGCTCTCTATACTCAGGTGTCTTAGGGGCTAGAGGGGAAATAACAAATGATTATTAACTCATTACGTTAACCGTTTGGGTTTTTTTTTGTGTGCAGATGTGCAATATAAGCTCTTGGTTTCCCGGGAAGCTCTTTCTGTTGATGCTTTCTGTAAACTTTGGTGTTACACTTGGCCTCAGCCATTTTGTTATTGCTGTACCACGCTGGGGAGTGCTGGAAATACAGTAAATCCTTGTTTGCTATATAAGCCCTATTGGTCTTTTTAAACAGTATATTTGTATTGTAATCATAGGTTAAGTAAAGTATCACTTTGATACACAGGGTATGACATGTATTGTCTGTATTGATTCTCTAGTTCGGTTTTAGTAATTAGCTGTTAGGTTAGGAGTACAGTGAAAAAGGCAGTGTTTGCCTGGGTGTGCACCTGTTTGCCTATAGGAATATGGGAGGACATGGATAATAAGCTACTAAAAGCAAAAACAATGAAAACAGTGCATTGTGACGCTGATACTTCTGTGATAAAACTGATAAAACTGAGACCCTGCATCATTAAGTTCTGTTAAAAAACATTTCTGTTGTCTGAAAGGATTCAGCTCCACTGAACACCAGATAAATGAATACAGAATTTGTGGAAATATTTGTCAAATTCCCCTGCAAAAGGAAGGAGGTTTTGCTCCTGTTTTACCAGGAAGAATAATCCATTCAAGTAGTAAATATGCAGTATGGTGCTTGGAGGCTAGTTGTGATCTTCAGCCCATAAGAGGTGCAATCGTCTGTCCATGTAGCTCACAGCACCCAGACATGTGCTGTTGATTTTATATCACTGCCTGGAAATGTGCATATTTGTTAAAACACACCGCCTTAAATTTTCTTTAAATTATCTTCCGCTTGAGAAGTGCATTAATGTACAAAGTAGACCTTTCGCAACTCTGAGCATTAACAGTTGATGTAACGGTTCAATAAAAAATCCCCCTGTTTCAGAATTTTTTACCTTCCAAACACTGAGAAAGTTTGCTTTTTGCATTCACACTGTTATGAAGTTGCTAGCTGTGTATGTGGAACCATTTTTAGGCACTGTGCAACACAAAACATGAAATGGAAGATTTTGATATGGTATATTTGGCATATATAATAATTTAATAGCACAAATTGTTTTGGTGAGAGAAGATGAGGATTTTCTTCAGTTGTAGAATTCATATTTCTGTTTATGAATGATTCAGTTTAGTAAAATTAGCTTCTGGTTGTCTCATTTTACAGTCCATAACATTATTGATTAATAACTAGATTATAACCAATGCATGTATGCCAGAGGAACTGCATCAAAACAGTTACTGAACCATAAAAATATCTATAGTGCATGTTGCAGTACATGGTGTAGGATGGTAAAACTAAGATTTGTTTTAGTGGATGATAAAAAGCTTCAAGATTTTTAGTAAAGCAGTAAAGTGCCTGAAGAATGCTAAAACTATTATACAGTATATGCATAGTTCTGTTTCAAGCACAGTTTAGATTACAGTACAGCTGTTTTATCATAATGGGTTTTTTATTTACAATCAAAAAATGTTTTGCATATTTAGGGCACTGTTGTGATTTTCTTTACATGATAGGCTCCGATTTGACTAAATTCACATTTTTGAAAGTCAATCACAATGTGAAACTAATAAGAACAAAACTGCAAGTAAACCTCAGTCGACAGAATGATGCACAATGCAAAACAGCTTCCTGAAGATCAGAGAAAGCACGCTGGTGTCTGAAAATGTTGCTCATCGGCTGTTGTTTTTCATCTCACTGAATACTTTTGGTTTTAAACAGTCAGCCACTGATTACAAAAACTTGCTTTGCCTACCTAAAAAATCCCTGCCTTCAGTTTTGGTCTTGCTGTGGTTGCTTTTTTATATTTGGAATGGAATCCTTCATTGTCTTACTGTTCTGTCTCACAGAGTACATAGAGTACATAGAGCTCATCCCGCATTGAGAGCTGGATAGTTTGGTGTTCCCCATGATACTGTCTTGGGACCCTTGCTGTTTAGTGTGTATATATGCCACCTCTTGGTGATATCATGAGAAAGTTTAAAGCAGGCTTGACTTCAGTGCCGATGATACACAGGTTTGCGTGTTGCCGAACTCCAGACCCAAGGCACTGGCTGTCCTCACGGGGCATCTAAGTGAAGTACAGGCGTTGATGAACTCTAAAGTGTTGAAATTAAATCTAGATGAAACAGTGATACTGTTGATAAACGTATATATATGACTCTGTTATTTAATTGATTAGAAGTGAGTAATCTACCCTGGACTGGCGTCTTGTCCAGAGAGTATTCTCCCTTTTGTCCAGTGATTGTAGGAATAGACTCCAGCTCCCCCCCCCCACCACCCTGTATTGGATAAAGCAGGTAGGAAATGCCTGAATGAATGACGCAGATTAATTATCAGCTGTATTGCGCAATGAAGTGTGCAATATACTGTAGCTGAGAAATTGCACAGTTCTACGTTGCTCATGTGGGTGCTCCCCTGTGCTGGTGAATGAGGTAGAATCTCTCCTAAGCTGGGAAATGCTTTTGGACCTCTTGGGATGAGGAGTACTGTATGAAGATGCAAAGAGTTAACACTCACCTGTAAGAACCAGTAATATTTAGCCAATTGTGGCTGAGTACAGTCGACCTGGTTTTCAGAATTCCTTCGCTGTGATTGGAAAGGATCGTGTTGTTAAGAACAGTGGAGTGTGTACTGTCTAGTCTTTTTTCTGGCCTTTCCCTTGCTTTTTCCTGACTCCAAGTCCTGTACATCCAAGTCTAAGACTGAGAAATGGCTAAGACATGGATAATAACCTCAGAAGCACAAGTAGTAGTTGATGTGCCTGATGCCAGGACGCAGGGGGTGTGGAAGGACTGAGGATTTCTGGGACAGAAGAACCTGTCTCCGGGGGTCTGTGCAGTGTGTGAGAAATTCTGGGGCTTAGTCTGGTTTGTAGAAAGACTGGGACTTTGGGCTCAAGCACAATGGAATTTATAAACGAGCCTGTGTACCCTGGATGATTTCATGTATCCAAGGTACTGTAGGACAGCTTAAGCTGGAGAGCATGACGTGATACCAAAAGTTTTCTTATTCAAGCATGACAATAATGAAACCACTGGAGTTCTTAATTAGATTAGTTGCAGCATATGGTTTTTGAAATTGGTTTGTGGAATTAGCAGCAACATCTCTGCAAACAAATGAAACTGTTTTATTAATGTGTTTTTAGAAACAACAGAGAGAGGAACCTAATTAAAGTCTACAAGTGAAACCTGTGACAGAGGGTGAAGGATGAGAGCCTTCAACCCCCTCTGTTACGTATTTTAAAATGTAACCTATGCATCTGAATCTTGAGGGAGTTCTTGAGAAATCATATTTCAGTTGTGTTACCTACTTTGTCAAGATTCTTTCCTTTTTAGTAGTTTAGGTTACCCTTTCAGTCTGTTAGCAATCACAGCTTCAGAAACTGATACCTTTTACAAATAAGTTTCACAGCTGAAACAGTCAACCATCATCATACTAAGTCACCAAACTAAGTCACCCCTTTTCTTTAATCAGTGTTACTACATAGAGTTGTCTGCTTTTATTAATCATTGCAATTTCCCTCTGCTTACACATTAATAACCTCATCTCATTAGCTCCTGTTCCCACTACAGTATCGTACACATCAGCTTTTTACGATTTCTTACCTGCACTTCTGTGAATCAAAGAATTGACGACAATAGACTAAATCACAGTGTCACCTCAGTAATGGCTGACAGCTGAATTCCATCTTATATGTTTCCGTGAGCCACAATCCACGATCTATTGCAATACATTCTGTGGAGTTTGAATCCAGACAAATTCAAACCATTTTTTTTCCCACCACTCTAATGAGACCCGAAGAAAAAACCTTCAGCTTATATAGTAAAAGCTTGTATAGCCGACATTCATTAACTTTCACTGTCGAGAAGTAAACTCTCGGTTAGTTCATTCCTCTTTTAATGACCTCTCCGGTTTTTTTTCTTTTTGTATAGTACGTTAAACATGTTTTTAGAATTTTCTGTTTTTCATAAAAGAACTATAGGTGTTTCTCCTTTGACAAATGAAATTGAGCAACACGTGCAGTATCAAGAGAACAGATAATGGATTTTTTTTAATTGACAAACTGTTGATAGTGTCGAACAGAAAAATCGAATTATACGAATTGTTCCCGTCCTTAATCAGCTTTTTCTCGTAGATAACATATTTCTAGTAAGTTGCCTTTGGATTCATTTTTAGTAAGAGGTATATATTCCGTGAGGGGGCAGATATTTTTAAATATGGTTTGATGAAAACAAACAAAACAAGAAAACGATCAGTCCCGCCCTGTGTACAGTGTGCCTGCCTAACCGCTTGCTCTGGACTGGCTGCCTGAGCCATCTGTTGAGCAAAAGGAAATTAGGAGCTGGGAGATAAGAACCTATTGATACTTCTTTTGAAATCTGGGGCTCTCGTGGTCGCCCACCGTTCTTAAAATGGAAAGGCAGGAGATGAGAATGTGTGAGAGTGCAGGGAGCCACTGAGCTAATGATACTTTTCATGTTTGATCTATTTCAGCCTTTAGCCAGTGCTGCAAGAAGAGTGGCTTTCTCATGGTCCTGAAGTGTCGCGAGGAGAACTCGGCGCTGAAGGAGTGCCTAACGGCTTAGTAAGTGCACCCCGATGCCCAGGGTCGTTTATCTTGCGCCGCAAAATTGTATTTTCGTTCTTACTTTCACAAAAGACGACGAGAGTCCAAAGTTCGGGTTCCTCCTTGGGGGATTTTAATACTTGCACCTCCGGGGAGATGAGAGGGACATTTCCAGTTCATTTTGCTGACTGTTGGAGTGGGTGAAGGAGGGCCGCCCTCCACTTCTCTGTACCCATCCACCCGTTGATCTTCATACCTCAGCCAGCTTCATACCGAACTCCCAGCAGCCTTGTACGTAACTCAGATTCAAAGCACTTCTCGAATGGACAGTACCAGATGGTTCGACACACTGGACTGGAGTCCCACGGGTCTGCTTAGCGGGCGTATGAATGAATCGGAACATTTATAGACAAAGCGGTGGAAAAAAACATAAAGAAGGAAACGTCGTCCATTGATAGGGCTTGGCTTTGGCTGTTCCCGTTGTCCCTTACCTTAGTTTAAACTTGCGTCTATATGAGTTGAAGTTTTAAAAATAAATCATTGTCTTCACATTAATTGGCCGCCATTTGAAATAGACGAATGTTCAGCTGGAGTGCTCGTGCCTCTGCCTGAAGCTGCCCAAGAGAAACGAAGAGGACGACATGCCTGTTTTTCAAAATGCAGAGATTGGAAGGCTCTTATAGAAGGATCTAATTAGAATTCATTAACCGAAGGGTGTGAAGACTCAGTCCTCTAGGATGGAATATGCTTCACGCGCCAAAAGATCAGCACCGATGACTGTCTGACATAGTTGAACAAAACTCCTCAGTTTGTTCTTAGTCTTCAGATTCAGATTCCACAGCAGCAGATCAGCGTAAAAAAGTTAAGAAAACATGATCAATTGTCAGCTTTAAAAAGTTTAATCTACACAGCATGGATTAGTGGTCTTGTTTCACGTTATTTTAAACACCTCAGCACGAAAAAAGATTTTTAGAATGACAAATGCCAATTGGAATCAGCATGGCAGAATTACGTAGGTGATTCAGGTCAGGGTAATTTTCCATCTCACCCTGAGGAATGCTGAAGGTGTTACAGGCTCCCAGTTAATGTCACTAAGTCTTTGACTTAAACAGTAAGAACTTGGTGTCTCATGTGGGGTATTTTTGGCGTCTTCATGATTCTGCCAGCACAGAGAACAGGACGCTAGAGTTTTTGATTGGCGCTTAGTCCCCTTAGAGGTTCTCTCGATGGAGAAGCGCAGCCTGAGGTTTTCCCATCAGGTGAATCCTTTTTCAAAGCAAAGGGTGAAAGAGTTAAAAAGAGAAGGAAGAAAAAAGTGTAAAGGAGTGTGTTAGCGGGTTGTTCCAATCCTTTTCTCACACATTTATAAACTGTAATTGCATTTCACGTTGAAGTTAAATCTGTTGAGGTTTGTTCAGAAAATTGTATCGCACAATCACTGGTTTGTTGGTGCACATTAAACTGTAAAAAGTGGAGTTTTTGTGGTTGGCTCGATGAAGAGATTCAGGAATACTAACGTTGTTTTAATCTTATTCTGCTTTATTCCCTTCATAGCTATAAAGATCCAGCATTTTATGAAGAATGCAAACAGGAGTATTTGAAAGAAAAAGAGGATTTTCAAAGGACTGGAATTTCTGCTAAAAACAGAAAACAGAAGCTTCCCACAAGTATGTAGGTCTTAGGTTTGCTGGGAGGTTTGTAGTCACAAACAGTAGGTGGGTTTGGAATTGAGAGGAGAATCTAGTGGTAATGGTCTTCAAATGTATTCCTGTAGCCTGGATTTCTTTCTTTAAATTTTTCTAAATTTAAAATTTTCTGTCTGTCTTTTCATTTGGATCCTAGGCCTGATTTGAGCTGATAAAGTTATTTATGGTCTGGACTTTAAAACCTCTGGGTTGGGCATCCTTTCTCACTTGTCTGTAAAACACTTTGCATCCATTTTTATTTCTAGAACTAAACTGAACAATATGAACCATACCTATAAAATGTTTTCTGTTGTATTTATCTTAAATCATTTGTGTTTTTATTCTGAAGAAGGAAACAGCACATTGACATTCTCACAAGCATATTTCAGAATTAGGTCATTTTGGAGAAATTTATATTCATATATATTCATCTCTAACACATTTTTCTTTTTAAAAAATGCTGCAGATTCATATGCTGGAAAATACTTTATAAATATGGGCAAAGATCAGTAATAAAATATAATATATTTGTAAGGAATGTTTCTGTTCCTTACTGCCAAGTAGATTACCCTACATCAAAAAAGCATTGTTTTCAAGCAGTGTTGCAGAATCACACTGTGCTTGAAATGTCTGTGACTTATCAAGGGGAAAGATGTAGGAAACCGTTGGCTGGAATATTTAAAAGAAAAGAAGAAGAAACACGCCATCAAGTTCAAATAAACATGTCTACTTTTTTCATTTTAGAAACCTAAGCCTCGCCTTGTAAGTGTGTTTTATCAGAGCGAACATTTTGGAAGTATAAATTAATTTCACCCCAGCTAAAGTGATAATTAACTTTTCAGGACAATTAAAAGCTTTGCATCAAAGAGTAGAGGGTGCTGATGTGCTAATTACTTAAAAACACAAGGAAAAAGTAAACTTTGATGTAGCCTTAGGTTTATTAATAGAATCTTGGCCCTTTTATTAAGCTTTTACATCTTTTCATTATGGGAAATTATACATTAAGATAATTTCTCAATCACTTAGCAATTTCTCTGCCATCGAAAATAACATGTAAAGATTGTGACTTTATTTCTGAGGCTAAATTGAAGTCCTGACGTGTGCTGGTGTGGTTCAGTATGCAGTGGCACAGAAGGAGAATAAGACAGTTAGAGACCTAGTTCGCTGAGGGAATGGGGAGAATAACAGAAGGCCTGTGTGTGACCCAGAGCCCAAAAGAATTGCAAACCGAATGGACACATGGACAAAAACGAACTGATACAGTTCACAAAGAACCGTGCGCGAGGAGGGGAAGCCGGCACATAAAATCTGTACCCGTCAAGGTGTATATAATTAAAAATGAAGCTGTAAATATTCGTACAAAATCATACGACAGTTAGCACATAGGGAGTTATGGCTCTGTAATTAATTGTGTGTCAGATTTTCATCATGAACAATTTATTATACAATGAGATATGGTGTTACTTTGCACATGAAACGTGAAATTTTGGCTGGGTTTTTGGAAATTGTAGGCATCCTCAAGCTTGTGGAGATCAGTGCGTATTTGCTTGGAATCTTCTTAGTCTTTACATCAAGAGTCTTGAATTTCTGTAAGAGAGATGGTATAGAGACCTTGACACTGGACAAATCAACAAAACCGCTAATCTGATTTTGCTCTTTGTGCTTCTGAGATGATAAAACTATACATCAGTACAGATGAAAGTTTATTATAGTGAACAAAAACACTTACAGTAGGAGTGTCTTTTTAAAATGGACACACAGAAGCGTGTTAATGTGGTGCGGTAACCTTTGTGCATTTGAGAAGAAAAGATCAATAAAAAGGATAAGAGAATGATTCTGAGAATGACTCCTGTCTTTACTTTTTCATAAAAGCAAATTTAAACTTTACGGCCATGGTGGCATACCTCCAGTATTAACTTTAAGGTTTTAGGTGAACATTGATTCAAAGTTAAGAAATACTGTTTGGTTTATGCGTGGTGTCTGATCAAAAGTCATGAAGCTGCAGTTGACAATGTACAGAAAGAACATTCCAAGTTATTGAAACGAACCGATGCAGTAGCTTGCAAAGTTAGTTCTTCTCTGGGAAGCAAATTTGTATTATTACACATTCAACATTTTGTATTAAAAGCAGTGAAATTTCACAAATGACAATCTGCGTAGTTTAGTCCTCCTTTGGCGCTAGAGTGTGGAATTAATTTCACAGCAGTCTGAAGTGGTTACTATCACCACCTGGTTGCACATTTTGTGGAGTGGCTGCTAATGTGCTATACAGCATGAAAAGAAAGTTCACGTCATTCCTGCCACTAGACCCAATGCAAACTCAACACTAACTGAACTCAGCTCAACTCAATTTACTGAAGGAGCATGATGCTACTGTTTGAAGGCAACACAGAATTAGAGGCTGGATTATCGGTTTTGTGGAAAACAAAAAATGGTTTGAGTTTTTCTGATATGAAGTTGAATGTTTCATGCTTAGATTTCTGCACAATTTCATGCACAATTTCCTGCCCAGCAATCTAGTTCTCTTATCTGTAAGACCCCTGAATATGGTGTTGTACTTTTTTTTGTAAAACTGTCAACACTTTTCCCCTGCTTGCTTTACTTACTTGTGGTTTGTCACCCACAGAGTTTAGACAGAACTTACTGCATGATATCTTACGAATATTCTGAAGGGCTGGATCTTTGCAATTCATTTTTTCCCTTTTTCAGAATAAGTAACTTGACGTCCATTGCACATGATAGCACAATGAGCTTCAATTTTTCCATGATTTCTAATGCCGTTAAATTCGGCCCCTTGCTTGCAGAGGTTATGTTTTCGTAACAGGTGGTAAAAAGTGGTAAAAAGAAGTGTTTTTGTGAACGAGGTACAAGAGCTTGTGCCGTACAGTTTTCGTATTGTGAAATATCCACATGCATCAACTGAAACTAAGGTCTTAAGAGCATTAAAAGAATGGATGTCTCATTAACAAAGGCAAATCATTTTGGATTGGTTGATAGCCTAAATATATCAGTCAAGATTTTCATGTTTTCCCACTCACATTTGCACAAAAGGACAAGTGAATTCACTTGTCAATAGCAGTGAAATTAACCAGAAATTGTACAACATCCTCACCCTCATCACAAAAGGCATTTTCTTCCTAGAGTATTTTACCCTTCACGGTAAGAGACAGGTGTTTGTTTTTGATTGGAAAGTTACAAAATTCTGAATGATTTATCAGAAAGTGTCGATAATCGTTCAATACACAAATTATGCAGTGTAATGATCAAGGTTTGTCTGAACCAGCTGTCTTTAAAATTTTCAGCGCATCTATCCACACATTCTAAGAAATAGGAACACATCTGATGTCATATATCTAAGCTATATTTCCTGTAGATATGTGACTTTCCATTATACATACTAGGGTGGCTGAGCCCCATTAAGATGTAAACTCAGAATATTAGAATACTGGAAAATAAAATTATTCTTAAATAAACATTTGAATATTACATTATTATAAAGAAAAAAGTCTTTGGTATGTTCGTCACTGTGGAATGAGTAAAAAAATAAACATTTTCTCCGGCAGGGAGACGGGCTCGTTTAATCTGCTGCTATATTTTACAGTACTGTGTTCAACCAAGAAAACTCAAAATAGAAAGTAGAAATAATTTGAGAAAACAGTCGAGAGCGTTATACAGTTTATATTCAAAAACTTAATCAGTTTAAAATACTGTATACTGTAAACACCAAGTGTATCTTCCAGTACGAGGAGTTGCTGTCCTTTCCCTACTGAGGATGATGTAATTTCAAACTTAGCACATTTGTGCTCATCTTCAGAAGCACAGACTGCAGAAGGAGGCATTGTTTTATCTTCTGGAAGGAATGTTCTCTCGTGTTTCCTCGCTTGACGGAGTGCAACGGGGCTGTGTGTGCAAGGCAACACTGTAACAGAAGGTGACATCACATCTCTGAAGGCTAGACGTTGTAAAGTTCTGTGGCAGGAGATCCGGTCTCCTGGCAAAGCGGAGGAGCTCAGTGCTGTACGTGGAGTGGCACTGTGTGTGCTCTCAGCCCGTGGACGACCATGATCAGCTCCCACCACGCAGAGCTGCTCTCCTAACAGGGGAAGACTGTTGTATGTTCATTTCTAGTAGTGAAGTTAATGAAAGGGGGTTAGAACACACTTTTCAGTTTTAGATTAGTTAAAAAAATATATTGTGAAAGTTAGCTTGAGAATGTCATATTTTCTTCTTGTCCTGCTTGTCAATTGCATGTATTGTTTTAGAAATGTGATCTTGTGATTGTATTTTTACGAGTTTTTATTCGCATTTTAGGCAGAATAACTGAATACTTAAACATCTAGTCATAAAAACTTTTTTTTTCCCCATTTTGCCTGATCTCACAATACCAAGATCAGTTTAAATGAACATTTTTTAATTTTTTCATTAACTGAAACGATTAACTATTATTCCAGACACAGAAATGTGTTTACATGATCTGTTTCAAGAAAGAAATGAGCAATATGAAATATTAAATTGAATGTTCAACAAGTAAAATTCAATTTACTTTCATTCAATTTCATTACAATCGGATACATTTCAGTGCTTCCTTGACAGAGATAAGGTCCTATTTTTACAGAACACTTCAACAACCAGCATTGGCAATTTAAAAGAACAGTTCTTAACATCGACCATATTGTCTGACAAGACAATTGTTTAAATGTTGTTCTTTCCTTTATTACTCTATTTCCAAAGCTGACATGTATGTACTGTAACTAGAGGGAAAGGTTATTTACCAGATTAACCAAGGAGGGGTTTAAGAGAGTAACGAACAGTGATTGAAATGTTTTTTAAATCTTCAGATCTGCCACCTTAACAAATATGGAATAAGGAGGCATTGTCAGGGTTATCTTCAGGTTCAAGCTCCTTGCTGAAATCTCTGAACTGCGAATGAGTTTTTACACATGTGCACTTAGAATTAACAGTTTGCAGGACCATGTTATTATCATTTATTTTCTTGGCAGAACATCTTGAAAGTTGAGATCACGTTTCACGAGCACTCTGCTACTCTGTGTCCTACCATTTTCAGGAGTGCCATCAGCTGACACACAGACAGCTTCCAGTGTGCTGGTGTCCTGGACGTCGTGCTTCTTTTAAAGCTGATGAGTCAAATGTTTTTGCGTTTGGGTTTGTCTGTATCCGATGAAACATAATATTGCAAATGCAGGTACTCCCCAATTTATGTCAACGTGCCTTTACTTTAAAAAAGCAAAGCATTGATCTTGCTTCTTTTTGTGTATCTTTTCTTACACGTGCGTTATGCACGTAATTATTTCCTTTGTGGGTTTGCAGTGTTACCCTTATTGTCATAACTACAAAAAAGCATTGTTTTTAATACAGAACAGAGAAGAGTAACATTAAACATTATTATTAGATTTCTTTTTATTTTATGTGTAGTATAGTTACACCTACAGTATGCACTTATGTCTGTCCACCAATCATGCATTACCGATATTTATAGCAATATGCGCCACTGGAGAAAAGCCACCTGAGGAGAATGAACCTCAGATTGTCATTCCATGGTATACAGTATACTTCTGGTATGCACTCCTGCATGGTGACAAAGCTGCAAGCTCTTTCCAGACCAGCATGGGTCCAAACACTCACCCCTGCCAATCTGGGAGGCTTGACTTCAGTGGCATCGCTGTAGTGACACCTAAGCTTTTCTCTGGAGGAGACCTTGCTTTTTAAGCAATGCAAGCATCAAGCCTGAAGTCTGGATGGCAGGGTTAAAAAATATGAATGACTACTAACAGCATTAGACGTTTCCAAGCGTCCTTTCTGTAGTGTTAGTCTTGGAAGGCAGAATTATTACAATCCTTAAGTTTCTTGTTCGTGCACTGCAGTTATAGCAGATCCTGTGACAATGAATGTTCATTTATGTCGTTCTCATTGTCAGGTCCCGGCAATTACTCTGCTTGAAATGGACTGCCTTACATTGTCCTTCTCTGTATTAGAGATAGATTTAACATACACCCTATTTATTATAGACCTGTGTGTTACAGGTTACTTGTGCAGAAGACAGGCTTCTGTTTCGAATAGCACATTAGCTCTTAATCACCATGTAATGGCTTAAAAACTATACAGAGGATGATAGGAGGATGAAGTAAAAAATAATATTAAATTCAAAACGGCTTGAAGCTAATTAAGCTGCTGAATGCACATTTTTAGATGCATAGAGGCTTTTTTTCATTGGGCAACACGTGGTCAGCAAATGGTTGTGGGAAGCACCCAATGACTCAAGAAGCAACATTTTGAGAAATTATAAGTTTGTGTCAAAATAAAGCCTTATAAAGATACTATTTATTGAGGATTAATCATGAAAGCATTATTCGTTAAGTATTATCACCAGCTCAGTGCAGCTTTACTGACTGTTTAAAGGATTACGGTGTCAAAGGGTGTGATATAAAGAGCTAGATGAAATCCAATATAAATCTGGATGTTTTAGACAATGTTTTGGTTCTTTCCTCATGTGCTACTTCACCAAAACGATGTTGTTCACTTTGTGCACAACGTGAGTGTTGTAAGGAATATTCTCTTTTGTTAATGGTATTTTGTTAATTTGGGTCATTATTAATGAAAATGCAGAAGCTAATAAACAAATATTATACATTCACCTACAGAGGTGAATATGAGCTGCAGGAAATGGCTTTGTTGTGATTTGGGTAATGAAGAACAGAAACATCTACAGCAGAGGGTTGCTTAACAACTCTCTTTGAACATCTCACAACAACAGTGACTGCCTTCTGATTTTAAACCATATCAGCTGCAGAGGAAAACAGCAATACTTCTTCGTGTAATATTTCAGTATGCATTCATCTGCAAGAGGTTGTCTGTACACCAACTCGTATTGTTCATGTGCATTTTTATTATACGAATCAGATGTCATTAAACTCTAAAACTGTTAAAGTATTTTCGAGATGTATCGAATGAATACTCTGGCGCATCCGAGTCAAGCGTTCCTTATAATAATCTTCTCGTGTTGACTGTTGCTGGGTACAGAGTCTGCTAGTGGCAACTCTGAGCCCCAGTAGCACCCTATCGAGGGAATGTCTCAGATTCTACCAGAACCAGTCATTTTAAAACATGCTTTCACAGGAATTGCCCCCTTTTAACAAAAAGCAAAACAGAATTTGAAGTACGGATATGGCACACCACTGGAAAGTGATAGAATAATAGAATTTGTGAAGACAGTGAGGGGCTGAAGAATCTCAAGTTCAGCTCGTGTTGTAGTGTGGTATTTCAGAAAAAAAAAGATTCTAACCAGGTTAGGAGAAGGAAGTTTGCCTGAGAAAATTGCACTTTTGTTGCTAGGCAATACTTGGTAATGAGAAAATGGGTGTGCAGGCTAATTAGTTAAGGGAAAGCCCGAAATGCATTCCAGGGAATTCAACATATGGACACAGTACTGCAATGATAGAATGTGCTAACAAGGTAATGGGAAAAGAACAGACCTTGTTAATGCCAAAAACAAAATGTCAAAAACGGGAATTGAAGCAGTTGGCTGTCCAGGACAGAGAAATTCCGAGTCCTTCTAACAGAGGGTGGGCTAAATTACCTGCTGGCAAGATAGCTTTGCAGTCCATCTTTACTTGGGTTTTGCACTGCTGTGAGCCTTCCAATATTAGACTGCACAATGGTACAGTACGTGGTGTATAACCCGCTGTGCTTCAGCTGTTGTCACAAAGGGATTAGTTCTCCAGATAATCTGAAACAATAAATGGACACATGCTGTTCCTCAAAACAAAAATATCTGCGATGGTCCTTTTTCTCTTCACATCCCACACTGCCATCTCTCCCAGTATGGGCACTTTCCTACATTTTAGATATGTGTCGAATTCCCACCCACCTCACCGCTTCATTCCTGCACGGGAGATTGTGTTTTCTGTAACCGAAGCTCATCTTTCCGAGACTCAAACCGTTAAAAGATTTCCTATCATCATGGCCCAGGTGCCAGTACGTTGACACAAATCAGTATTTTATTATAATGAGGCCGTGGATACAGTAATTTTTGGCTCCCTCATTAGGTGGTGACTTTTGCCGTTTCTAAATATTTCCAGAGTAAACTACCTCACTGCAGTTTGAAAAAGGGAAAAAGTTAATTGAAGGGAATTGAACTTAGATCCAGCTCCTACAGAATTGTTTGCGCTGGATTATTACACAGGTAGTTGGTGCGCAGAGACAAAAGCCTTGTAGCTTTGATTTGTTATATGCAGATGGGATTTCGTTCCATTACTGTGGCTGGAGCCTGTAGTCCCTAGAGCCAACTGTGTTCATTGGTCAGGATAAATTCCAGCATCTAATACTCTTTCCATTAATCACAGGCTGAACCAAATACGTGAGTGAGATGACAGACGTGATGCATATTTGTTGGTAGGTAACAGGCTTATTCACATGGTGATGAATACAGCAAACTCGATGAGTCAGGTGAGGACATATTCCACATCTCAATGCGATCTTCTCCCTGAACTGAACCCTCTCAGGTCATCTCTGTGAGTGTATGGCGTGTCGGCTCTTAATCGATGGAGGAAACCGTGTGCATGAAAGGAAAATGCAGAATACTTGTTACAATGGTGGAGTTCAGTTACTAAAACATCGCCAAAACAGGATAAATATTAGCTACACCGTTTTAAACTACTGTTTTTCACAGAAAGACTCACTCTCCAAAACATAATTAATTCTTCAGGAATAATTTCACATCAAATCAAGTCACATTTCAGTCAGGGCATTAATAATAGGTCACGAACACTTTATATTATTAGAGTAGTTCAGGTGGGTAGCTGTATCAGCATGCATAGTCTACAAAGGAACAAGTAATATGTTTATTCCATGCTGAAGAGAGATGTCACACCACACCCGAAGAAGGTTTCACAAGCGAAACGCTGTTTTCTCTCTTCTCTTTTCAGCATGGAATTAACTTATTACTTATTCCTTTATATTAATAGAGACTGGTTGTAACATTTTCTTATTAGTGATTGCTGGGTCTCATGTTTTCGACTTTTGGTTTTCTACTGGAATGTGGTGCTTTTAAACAAAGATTAGTTACTGAACATTGTTTTATCATCAATAAGAATTTTATTCAAACTTTTTGATCCGGAAACGCATATTTATTTTACTTCCCATAGTTACAATCAGGTTTTTTCTTCCACAGAAATGTCAAAATCCAGTCCATATCCTTATGGCATTTTGGCTTGAAACCTGTTCAGCAGTATAATGCAGGGTTATGTTATGTAAAATATAAAATAGGACTCCTTCAGAGTTTTTTCCCCTCCTATAAAACATTACAGCTTTCCATATAGCCCTTAATTTACCATGCAATTTCAGTGGCTGCAATAACTGAGCTTTATAATAAAACTCAAACTACTTCCTTTTCTTGTGTATTACATAAAAACAACTCTGAATAAGCATCGACATCCGATAAATGTAACAGATGCTTACAGTGCATAGCTTCGACTGTTTTACAATTCTGCTGCTTTGGTTAACTGGTCTGTAATGACAGTGGCTTCAAATCTTTGTTGTTCTACACAGTCTGGGTTCTATCTGCCAGTTGGAAAGAACAACATGCATAGCTGCAGCAACATACAACATACAAAAACATCAGCAATATCACGGGAAACGGTGAAAATTGGTAGAACACTCTTTTTTCTGCTTGGTGCCATTACACGTCAGTATTCTGGGGCTGAGGACCTGACTGAGATGTTCTTGAAAGAACGTTGATGTTCTCATCGCCAGCCATAGTGAATGATGCTCACTAATATTAAAGAGGAAATCAATTAATGTTCCTCATCTTCTCTGTAATAAAATAATCTGCTGCAAAAGCAGTGAGAGAACTTATATATTCTCAGGCTTTAGAGAGGACATATTGGCTTAGACCTCACAAATATTACTCTAGATATGAAAAGCCTTAGTTTTGAATTCCCAGCTACCTTAACTTCTTTGTAATGGTTGATTCTGTACAATACTCAGCTTTTAATTTTCCAATTCCCGATCTACTAAGCTGTGCCTGCCAGCTTTGGTTAAAACAAACGTCTTGGTTTCATTCATCTAGGCTGCTTTGTACGACAAGAAAAAAAAAGTGCATTTTCATCACAGCAAAAACAAATCTTCTAAAATCTATTAAATAAAATGGATAAAAACATCGCATGAAGCACATGAAACCCGTGTAAAATAGTTTTACCACAGGCATTACTTCAGGTTTGTCAAATGGGTTTTTGTTTATATATTTCTTTAATCTAAATGGAATCGACTTTAAAATTAGAATGTAGGACAAAGAGGCAGAAGACAAAAGCAGTTTCTACATCTCAGGAGATGGGGATAAAGGCCCATAGTTCCTTGCCTTTTTTCACCCAGCTCCATTCAGCCTCGTTTTGAAGTGAGCAATACGACGAACAAACACTACACACAACAGCGACACTTTAATTTTTGTGACATCACAACATTTGCTAAGTGCGGTACTTCTGATCCACATTCTAAGAGTATACAAGCTGAGAGCAAGGCTACTTTAATATGATGCAAGTGCAAATTGAAATGCAAGTGCAAAGAGGGCACTTTGCCTGGAGTGGGCAACAAAGACAGGTGTATGACTGTAAACTTAACTTTATGAGCTATTCAATTTGAGAACAAAATAAGGCCTGGTATCTGTTCTAGAAAATGGCAAGACAAAGTCTTCACTAAAGTTGTACTACCACCCCAATATAGATGAATTCTGCAGATGACATCATCCGCCTCTTCAGAGGTGAAGCATTAGTCCCAAGGGTACAGTGGTTGACATACTGTACTAAACTGATTTAAAAGAAATGTTACATAAAACATCCAGGCTATAGGACTTATGCTGAAATAGAACTTAGGCATTCACCAAATATGCCACATAAAAGCTGGTGAATAAAATTATACGTGGAGCACCGTCTTGAGTAACCAATTTTTTTGCTTTGTATTCAGTTATCAATGCAAACCTCGTGTTTACTTGTTTCTTTCAGTGCTACACTGTTGTCTGATCTCTGCTGACCACGCAAATAGGAGAACAGATCACCTCAAACAGCACACTGTATCAGTTAGAAGCATGAAAAATTATACTCAACAAGCCTAAAGGTGCTTCCTCATGTATTTACATTTGTGGGGAAAATTATCACAACCCTGTCTTAAAAAAAGTGTTTATAAAGAAATAATAAAAGTACTAGTAATGTGAACTTTCACATTATTTATACGTATGGCCTAATAATGTGGACTTTCTTCTTACCAAAGACTGAAAACAGCACGTGACACCCATATCAATACACAGATCTCGGCCACATACCCTTTATCTCACATTATTAAGGGAAGTTAGCTTTTGGGTTCAATGAAAAGTCTTACAGTGTTTATCCTTCCTTAGTCATTAAGATTCCTATCCATCTTTAATCTGCGCTGCACTCCAACGTAGAGCTAACAGCATCGTAACGTCCTCTATCATGGCCCCTTTGTGAGGTGTCCAGATGCCAAATACGCCAGGAGCCCAGGTTCCCCTTCACCAGAGAACCCGAACTGAAACTCATCACCTCTGTAACAAAAAAAAAAAGCGTCCCATTACGAGAAACTGTTTTGACTTAAGGCAGCCCAAGAGAAGAGAACCGGAGCTCACGGCCGCTCCGGTCGCTGTCCACCCGATGGTCAAACAGGGGGGGGGGTCAATAAGGCCTGAGCCAGTCGGGGCCGGGGCTCTTCGGGGCGTCGGACGAAGAGGCACTGCGCCCCGCCTCCCAGAACAGGGCGTCGCTCGGCTTCGGCGGGCTGGGGAAGGACCAGGAGCCGTCGTCCAGGGAGGTCCTCGCGTAGGAGCCGGGGCTGCCCACCGGGGGGGGGCGGGGACTGGTCCAGGGGTCAGGCCACAGCTCCCCCGTCGGGCCCTGCGCCGGGGTCGGGCCCGGACCAGAGCCCGCGAGGGGGGAGCCGGGCGCGGTCACTCTCACCAGGCGGTGGTTGTTTTCCACGTCCTCAAAGCACTGGACCGGAACCGAAGCAGGTCCTGGAAGCAATACGCACACAAATATACGCAACGTTTGAAAACGGATGCCCCGGAATTTCAGTGTCTAATAACATCCAGTTATTAGATAAAGGCCTTCCTAACTGTACAGTTTTACCGATTCCCATCACCGACGACATAATGTTATTTCGGGTGAACAAGTCTAGGACCTGCGAGTAATTTTAGTCTGCGAGACCAGCTTAGAATGCGGTTCTGATATCTGTGCGCCAAAAACACACATTTGTTATAATGGATTAACCTAAATTCGGTCGGCGTTAATTCTCAGAAATGCAACATGTACCATGGAGAAAATCTATGGGTGCTTTCTGCTTTCCAATTCCCAACCGCCCCTCTTTCCCTCAAGCAGGTGCTTAAATCTGCCTTTAATTCTCTCGAGGCTTCAGGTCAGTAACACCTTTGGTTGTGGAAGAAAAGATAGCAGGAAAACACAGACATTTCTGATCTTTCAGTCCTTTTTGTTCATGACTGAAGCTAAGGGAAAGTACCCTTATAGGACAAAACCTTTTGCTATAATGTGTATATCCAGTACAGAGAGTATTTAATTTTGCATTTCATAGAAATTTAGAACAGGAAAAAAAAATAATCACAAACTAAGAGGATATTTTTTTAGTAAAAGCCAGACAAAGTCCCCCAAGTCATCATTACTAACCCATGCCGTTATAACCCCCCCGAGAACCAAAAGCTGTTCTTAGTACTGAAAGGCCTAACCTTGCATTCCACTACAGATCATGTGTTTTACCAGTGTCGTCTTTCATTTATTCATTATTGAATATATTTATTTATCATCAACTATCCGATGGTATGATGTTGACTTATATTCCATACCCCAGGAATTAAATTGTTAGGTGCAAAATAAGCTTGCTGGGAACCCATCTCCAAGGCTAGGTATACACAACATACACGGTGCACTGTAATGACCAGCTCTTAATCATTTTTACCAAAGAAAAGACCAGCCTGAGGTATTTCTGTGTTGTCAAAAATGTATTTGCAAGTGCGAGCCAAGCAGAAAATTGTAACAAAAAGCAATCTGGAAAACACCATGTAGCATTATTAAAGAAAAGATAGCACCCTGGTAAAAAGTATTTGAGTTTAAGTTTAAGAAAGAAAAGCTTCAGTGATTAAACAAACTGGTTTTTGATTTAGTGAAATCACTGATGAGAGATCTAAAAACAACAATATACATGTTACCTTTTTCTCATTTGTCATTTGTCTGGTGTATGCACTGAAAATGAATTAAAAATAACAGTAAATATTAACTTTAATTAGTCTTTTCCTCATTATTTTCTCTTTTTCTTGCACTTCGGGTACATTATGAAACAGCTCTCCGTTTTAGGATAAGCACTTTAGGATCAGTGAATGTTAAGGTACATCACTGCCATTCACATGCAGTGTTGGAGAGATGAAAGGCCAACTAGATTTCTTTCCACCTGAGATCTTAAAGAGGTAATTTAAGCTACTGGCCCAAATAACCCCTTTTACTGGGACTTTAACAAACCCCAAAGGGCAGTAATTCTCCAGGCCAGAGTTGTGCACACCTGAGGAAAATAATACAATATTCAGAAAAAAATCTGGCTTTTCTTCCACGTATCTTAAAATAATGTTTTCGAAAGAGTAGATACATGCAAATATGTTGTGTACCATTCCGGTCTCTGCAGATTGGGGAAAAAAATGTACTGGCAAAAACAATGTAACAAAATAACCAGTGGAAATGACAACCAAAATAAAATGTCCAACCACAAATAATAATTAAACTCTGTTAATGTTCCTTCCAACGTTTCCAAATGACAAAAGAAACTGTAACAACATTTGCACATTGTCGAAACTTGAGTGTCACCCTGAACAGATGATATCATAAAGTCACAAACCAAAGAATACAATGTCTCTGTAAATCAGGTTCTTCTTCATAGGTGACACCCTTCTACAGTCAAAACCTCAATTACTAATATCTCTGAAATCAAGGACACTATAGTCTTACAGCAAGACTCCACTCACCTGATAGTTACATTAAAGAACAGAAAATAAAATGCGTCAGCTGCTAGAATTATAGGATATTGCTTTAAAAAACAGAAACTAAGAAGAAGTGTATCTCGCTGCACTAGGAATCTCCCCTGGAATTTATTAAGTAGGCTCTGTTGCTTCATACAAAGCAGGGGGATTCCCATACAGAAAGGTCTAAAGGGAACACACCCTAAAGAGATGATACAAAAATTATAATAATGCAGATGTGCACATGTTCATGCCCAAAGAAGACTGAAATGTCTAAGTGTTAGGATCTCTGTACTGCTATAGTTCAACTTTTTAATCTGTTTTTTTTTTTGGATAAAAACCTGTAACTCACACTGTCAACAGTAAAGGTCTTTATCTGCTCCTAGAACAGAGGCCATACCCAGTGGGCTTTAAAAAAAAAAAAAAAACGGAAACTTTCTTCAAGACCACAAAAAGTAAAACTTGATAAAAATCTAAATGAGTACATTTTTAAAAAGAAAATGATCCACACTACCCGCAACGAGATCGGGCACTTCAGTGTTGTAGAATTTGACAATTTCACAAGGGTGATGTGTGGTTTCTAACTGGTTAAGATGGCACGAAAGCATTCTGAAATTAATTCTTAAAAGCTTAGTCCGATGTGAAGTTTGCATCTCTATTGTGCTCTCTGAAAAGCCGATGAATCAGCCTGCTGAATCAGCATTCTGCTTCACCCATAAGCCAGAGTATCTTTTTAAGTTCGTCGAAAAGGAAAAAAAAAAAAGTCCGAATGAATATATTCATCCACAGAGACACCAAAATGATATTGATTTCATCTCTAAAAATAAAAAAAATGAACTACAATTTAAAACTATCACGTGTTTAAATTCAAACCATTACTACGGATTTTGAAAGTAAAAATCCTAATGAACTGCTGAAATATATTTACTGACGTGCTTCACTGTCTTCTAATTTTCACCTCTATTTTACTAGCAGCGTTGAGGGAATACAATACAATCCCTTCTGAATGAACAGTACTCCTTCTGCGTTTGGAGTTCATTATCTGTAATATTTTAATAAGCATGTTTGCCACTGTGTTGTATGTTAATATGTGCTGCAGGACGACTTTAAGGGAAACTAGTGCTTGTCTCCATCTCTCCATGACAGCATTTAAACCACTTCATTATTGTTTGCATATTATAAAACATGAACAATTTGCACATGAAAGGTGGCACCGAGAGATCAGGTCATTTGCTGTAAAATAATATATTCGGGTTGTGAAAAAGATGACTTTCAGTTTAACTTGTAAGTGAAAAAAATATTCTAAGGCTGAAGTTACCCAATTACTGTGCTTAAGGCACAAAAATATCTGTTAAACCTTCAGAAAATCAACACATTTTTTCAATGTCTAAAGTGCAAGGAACACTATTAATGCAGGGAAAGAAAAACATTAATCACTTAGTAAGAAAAAAAAATTCCCATCGCAGTCAACTTGAGACAGACAGAAAATCAAGGTGAATAACGGAATACAGAATGTTTACTACAAACATACGGTGGAGTTTGAGTTGTACATTTTATTTTAAATTGTGGAGAAATGCATCTTTTTGGATGCCAGTGTGCAAAACACTAAAATAATGTAAAAAACAAAAACATGCAAAAGATTGTATGCATGTGCCTGTGTGAACTGGTTACTGTAAATGTCAAACATAAGCAAAGAGTTAACACTGTGGTGTCTACACACAGCAGTGTGAACCCGCCACAGCAGGCAAGTCACTAGAGAGGAGAGCCTATCAGTAACACCTTCAGGTGTTAAGCTGACCGGTATGGAAAGTAGAACCCCAACTCGAAGCAAGTGAGTAGGCTGAAGAAAAGGAAAGAAAGAGAGAGAGAGAGAAAAAAAAAAAGGTGCGATGGGCTTTTTGAGATTCTATCTGTCATATTTTGATAAAACCTGATAATTGATCGAGTTAGAGAATGCAGATGGGATGAGTGATCGCACAGGCTCCTACCCACCAGCCACCTGACTTACCTCTGCTGACTGCACTTTGCGAGCTGTCTCTCAGCTTTCTCACCATCTTGGCTTGCGACTTAGTCACTGCATATAAATTAGACATCTCTCTTCTCAGGTCCACGTACGTCTTCAGCAGCGACGCGTCCCTGGAAATAAACACAAATAAGGCCGCTGGACTGCAGTCACCCTCCCGGACTGTGTTCCCCTACAACACCTCCACACCTTAACAAAACGAACCGTCGCGCGGAAAATCAGAAAGACCAAAATGACACGAGCCCGTGCTCAGTAGAGACAAAAAAAATCCTAATTTCATCAGTTTACATTTCATTTCAATTCTAAGATGAGACAGGCAACGGCGGAGAGTTTCTGTGGAACGCTTGTTCATTTCTGATTTTACTGCTGTGCACTGCAACTCGCCAAAAAAAAAGCAGATTTGTCACGAAATGTCAAATTGTTTTCGCCAGGACTAGGGGGAAAAAATCCACACAAAACATATACGACACATAAACATTCATGTATAAATATAACCCGTACGAATTTCAAATCTCTCTGCATGGTTGTAGTATATCACACTAATCCCCTTGTAATGTAATATAGAAACTAATATCTGATAATGAATTTTATCTCTACAAGACACTCCTTAAATATCTGAGGTTAGAAAACAAATAGTTTATTGAAATTCGTAACATTGATTGAGCTGCAGACAGAAGTTAATTTAAAATCAATGCAAAAAAATTCTGCATCTGCTTCTCTACAGAAGAAAAGAACAGTCTGACGTGTAATTTTACATTAGGAATGTTACAAACAACTGCCTTGTTTTGTTTCATATCCCTGCAGGAAAAATAAACTGACCGTGTTTCTCTAACTGTTTTCCTCCATAAGTACTATTTAATGGTTTTCTGGGTAGTAGTTCATGTACAAGCCTTACTGAATTAATATTTTCATATTTTAAATTATTAGAAACTGTTTAAAAATGTTGTTAATTTTTTTTAATTAACTATGACACAGAATATATATATATAGATACAACTTTCATCTCTCTCTCACCCTAATTTATTACCCTTCTCTGTCACATTAATTTAATGTTTTAGTATATATATTTTATATATTGTCAGTAAAGTACAATCTGATGAATCCCACATAAACCTAATTTGTTCTATAATTTTTAAGGTATGCCCTGTAAGAGACCATATGCAATGTCAAAAGCACTGTAAACAGATTTGATTTTCTCCGTATATATATAAATAAGCCTTCATAACTGATGACGTGTAAAATATTACTCTGAAAGTCTCACTACCGCTGTACGTACCACTAAACATAGATCAAAGATCTTTGTCTCACCAAGTGGTGTTAATTTTCTTTTTACAGAAACAAATTTCTCCCACAGTTCTCTCAATGTGTATAGGAACAGACATTCAACACTAAATTATATATAGAGAAGTATACGTAGTACATAACTGTGATCACAAACATGAAATATGTGATACATAAATACTAGTACTGTAAGTAGTTTGGTGAGTGTTCAACACTAAAAGGAAGTTGTTTCAGATCAAATTGGATTTTGTTCATATGTTAAGAGTTATTATCATATATTTTAAATTTTAATATTCCATTTATTTTTACAATAAACTGCTTGAATACTGGCCTCAGTGAATACCTAAGAATATTTTCAGACATTACCACAAGTTTAAATTACATAGTTCTAATTTTTTTACAGCACTATACTACAATGCTTTTGTAAAGAAATACACATAAAACATATCAGACTTATATTATATAGTTTTATACAGGTGGGCAACAAGGAGCCTTAATTTACCATTTGCGGTTGCAAATTGGCAACATAGTGTCGGGTATCTGAATACCCGATATCAAAGAGGACACATCAGTGAAACTGAAATAAACAATTATGAAATCCTAACATTTTAAATGCAAACTAAATAGCAACTGAATTTAATTTGACCAACTCAAAATAAATTCTATACCAAATTCATGGGTTTTTACATTTGTCTCTTGCTTTCTTTCATACAATATCTAGCCCCGTGCTAATTAGCAACGACACTCTCCGGAGATGCATTATGAGTCAGTCATTCAGTTTACTAGTGATAATCTTCAAACTTTACCCTACTACTCCTTAGACATTAATGCTGTCATCTGAACTCTTCCCAGAACAGCAAGACCAAATAAAAATATTAAAATGTTATACTTTCCCCGCATCAAAAATATAATCTCAAAAGAGAAAAAAATTAGGACCACACAGAAACAAGTTCCAAAGAATGTGATCATGTGCTATATAGACTGATAATTCAAACTAACAAACAATGCTATTTTTTTAAAGTACCAAAAGAAAGTTTGTACTATAAACTTACATTAATAAATTAGAATGACTGAAATGTAAAGAATTATTCTAGTAAAGAATGGCCCTGTTGTGTATTGCACTGAAATCAACACAAATAAAGCCCAGTTACATTTTCATGTTTTTCCCCAGTTAAATACTGCATTTTAGTACAGAGACTGTACTCTGAAGACTTCTAAATTTGTTTCAATTAACAGAAATATGAAAATTGTAATGACATGTTTTTGGTTACAATCTCTTTTAAATGTGTAAGCAAGGAGTTGATTTTTACGTGCATCAGCAAAACAGGCACTTTTTTTACAGCCAATAACAAATACGGTATGTGTTGTGTACAGTACTTTGTCACTGTGATCTTCATATACCTGTTGTAACCTCAAAGTACAGTAGTCTCTCCAATCAACTTAATAATAACATCAAGAACCATTTTAGAAAAGGAAACTTTTTCTATATAAAACAAATACATTCAGAAGGATACTTTTTTATATCCTGTTAGGATAAAGGTCAATTAAATTAATTATGAATTATGTAAACTCATTTGAGTTTCAGAATATGGCGAGCATGACAATAAATCAGTGTGCATGGTTAATTATATTACTGTAATGCAAATTACTCATTTCTACAGTTCGATGTCTAAGAAATTTGTTTTTTACTACTGCTGGTGGAAAACCACAATATTGGAATTATTTTATTATGACAATAACTTCTAGTAATACAATAACTTTTGTCTTCTGATGTGCTTTTTAGATTGTAATTTGGTGTGTATTGTACACCTGTGAATTTCAAGTGTCTTTCACACATTAATAGGCAAGATTAGCTAACAAGAACTTAGAAGACCACATGCTGACACCCGGCCTACACATCAGCCTCCCCATCTGAAACAATGCACATCTAACCTTTTAACAAACACCTTCACAAACAAGAGAGACTAGAAAGCTAGAAAATCTCTTTAACCCTTGTCTGCCTTTGACCATGATTATCGTACGGATTATTATACTTCAAAACGACAAGCAGTATCGCACATTAATGATTTCGTCTACTGATTTTTTGGGGGGAGATCACTAAAATCTTCACACAGAGTCCCTCTAGCAAAATCAGAATAGTTCGGGGTGCAAATTATTCAAGTGTGTGTGCAAATGCCTTTTTGAAGAATAACTATTTTGTCGTTTAGAGATTTTTTGTTTCTAGCCTTTCTGTATGCTTTGCTATTCCATGCCTGTAAAAAAATTGAGATTATAAATGACAATATTTTGTGTCTTACATTATCACAAGTGTGAAAACACTGTGTTTGAGCTCCCTCTTGAGGAGAAAAATAGACATCACACAGACGTTGTCACAGACCAGGCCACATCTGAATCAGTCGATGGCACACATACTTTACCGTACACTGAACAACTATTGGGAAATAACCCAGGATAGCTGTTAGCTTTCATAGCTTCTGAGTCAGGACTAGTCAGCAAAGTCAAAATGCTGTGACTTCAGTAGTTGAACTTACAAAGCTGAAAACTGTTCTCCCTGAACCCCTCTTTTGGCTCCAGACGAGGATGGCTGGTTTTGCCAGTTTTTCCAGCCAGGGAACAAATGAAACATTATGGCTCCAGTTTTCACAGCCATGAATCGCCATGTCTCAGGGAAAATATTCTGCTGGTTAATTTGAAAAGGAACATTTTTTCATAGTCTGTACTAGGATTGCATCAGAATCACTCTATAAACCTGGCTTTGTCATAAGATTTAAAGTAAAAAAAAATGGATTTTTTTAATAATACCTCTTAAGTTAAAACAACTTGACCACCCCTGCAATTATTATGAAAAATGTTCAGTTTCTGTATACCCTGAAGTAGTTTTCTGACAAAATTTCCACAGGATGTCAGATCATTTCCAGCAAAAAAGGTTGTTTCACAGAGTGGCCAACGGGTAAAGATCCTATTGTTACAACAGTCTGTGCTATTTTTAAGTAACACATTTTCACCATATTCAAGGTCATTACAACTGGAAAGAGCACCATTGGCAAATTCAGCCACAATTTTTTTTATCAAAACTCAGATCAACTTCCCTATATATCCACAGTGCTTTTTCCATCAACAATATTTTATCTTTAAATAAGGTTATTGTATGGTTAATTTATTATGAAATGAAGCGGTGTAATTAAAATTCAACTCAATTCAGGGCGCATGAACATGGAGGGGGAAAACAACTGGCTGTGGTCCTCAAAGATCTCCACCATCTGAGACCATGTACTGAGGCTGAACTTGTACTTCAGTCCTATGTGTGAGTGTGGGCGGAAATCATTACATTTCTACGAGAGCTGTTCTTCCAGGAGCAGAAACTAGAAACACAAGACGAAAAAGGGAAAAGGACAAAACATTTTCCTGCATGGAAGGAAAGCCCAAAAAATCCGCCAGGATTTCAATTGATGTTTTCCCTCATGATGAGATTGGCGATTTTGTGATATTGGTGATATTTAGTGATTTGTTTAGAAGCAATAAAATATTAAAACACTTCCAATACAATTAGTCCTTATTATATTGTTACATGGGCTCTTTCACCATGTGCTAAAACCATCAGCGTGCCAAAACCATCACCAACCCTCCCAAAAAAGTACAAGAATTAAGATGCATTAGTAAAACTATTTAAGATAGTTCAGGTGGGTAGCTGCGTCAGCATGCATAGGCTGCAAAGGAACAAGTAATAGGTTTATTCCATGCTGAAAAGAGAGAAAGAAAACAATATTTTGGCTGTGGAGCCTTCTTCGGGTGTAAGGCTCCACAGCCGAAATATTGCATTTTCTTTCTTCTCTTTTCAGCATGGGATAAACCTATTACCTGTTCCAATATTTAAGATCCGTTCTGCATAAAGTCTTATCTGTGTTTATACCTTCCACTTAAATTTACACTAAAGCAAATGTAAAGAGTGATCTTTTTTTAAGTCCGTCAGTGCCCTCTTGTGTGTGGGGAACTGTTCTGCACCTACAGTATGTGTGCTATTATAATTGTCTTAAAGTAAAATCTAATTTTATTAAATTAGACCAACAACATTACACGGGCTCTGTGGTGGCTCTGCGGCTCAGGATCTGCGCCTGTGGTTGGAAGGTTGCCGGTTCGTATCCCGTGGCCACCAGAGGAATCCTACTCTTAACCCCAGCTGCTCCAGGGGTGCTGTACAATGGCTGACCCTGCGCTCTGACCCCAAGCTTCTCTCCCTGTCTGTGTGCCTCATGGAGAGCAAGTTGGGGTATGCGAAAAGACAAATTCCTGATACAAGAAATCCATACGCCCAATAAAGTGATCTTATCTTATGACTGAACAAAAGAAACAGTTGATCTGCTCATGAAACACATTTCTATGCATCTGATGAGCTTTTTTTTTGCCTTTCTGGCATCTATCTAGTGTAAAGTTCTAATTAAACACTGGCAACTCATAGTGAAATTAGAGGACTGATATTTTAATAAAAACCTAAACCAAGGACTATAGTAAATAAAGTTAACCATAGAATCCAATGTTAGGGATTGAGACTAGGGAAATGGATAACTGCAACATATTTACTGTGTATTTCTGTAAAAAACCTAAAGCATATAATGAGCATAAATGGAAGGTGTTTAAGAACACATTACAAAACATTCTGGCCCATGTAAGCTTAGAACATGTGAACATGACACCCCCATTATTTTGAACTACAGAATAGAATAATATGTGATTTAATCTATAGCTTTAGGAAAATAAATATACAAGTAATAATTGGCACTAATTTTCTATGAAAAACGTTAGTTGCACTATTTTTGTGTTTCCAAGTTACAGTTCTCACATTGCATATACTTTGTGATCTTAAGAAACAGACTAGAGGAGTAACAGAACAAGACAGAAAATATTTCCTGCAAATCTGAAGAGCAGTTGAGGAGTGAGAAGGTCGTGGGATTCCCACTTTGAGAAAAGATGGCTAAACCTTTAACATACCCACTGTTCAATTCAGTATCGTTATTCCAGTCAGTCTTGGAAACATTACTACAGTGATGGTCCTGAAAAAAACAAAAATGTATAAAAAAATCTTAAAATGCTTATTCAGTATTGACACTTTCGAAATTGAGTGAAATTGTGCTCAGAACATGACTGCATCCCACCCAATCGGAAACAACCTTCCTCTATATTGTAACAGCAGAATAATTTAACACTCCATTTGAGATTATTACAGTAGGAGAGAGGTTTGCAAAGCAGGCTCCGATTTGCAATATTAAGCTCATTATAAATTAAATGTTCAAGCAATGGCTGAAGACTTAAATTACAAATTAACTCAATGGAATGTGCATGTTTTCATTAACAAGGATTTCAGGGCGCTCGACTCCAGTGTCCTTGTTAAATCCTGAAACAACCCAAAAAAATCTAATTTGATTAAATTCTTCCCTAAGAAAATAAACCTGTTTTTTTGGCTGCTGTCTTCGTCAACACAGATGAAGGCACAAATGCTGAAACATTTGTTAATTTGGGTAATTTCTTTCTCTTGGCGTCTGCTCAAAGCTAGCCTTCAAATCTCCAAGACGTGCAAGTTATGGACAATGCTCTGTACACCCTTTGCAAATAGTGATAGGGACAACAAATTATTTCCACATCACAGAAACAAAACAATAAACGGCACTGTATTATACAGATTTACTCCAGGAGGTTAAAGCACAAGAACCTCCTGGATTCAGCTGTGATTCCCATAATACAATTAATTAAATAATTATGTCCAGTACTACATTTACACAAAGGATGTTGCTTCGCCAGACCACATTTTGGGCAGTATAATACGCTGTCACACTGGCATTCAGCTTAGATCACATCTCTCAATGACAATGTGTGCCTGGGAAGAATAGTTTTCAAGTTTTTTTTCCCCTTACTTACAAAGGGTGTAATAGTTACAAGTTTTTGTTTTGTCCATTACTATCAACAGATATAAGTCCCCATGTGAGCCCAAAAAAAAGGGACTCTTGAAGGCCTTGCCTTGTATTTTTCTTGAAGACGATTATACTCCAGATGCAGCAGCTCCAGTTCCTGCTGCAAAGTGTGTATTTTCAGCTCGCTGTTGACTTTATAGACGTCCCAGTAGTCCTGTGTGCTATTCATTGTTTTCATCACTGGAAAACAAAATTCAAACAGACCTATGTTCAATAAATCAGATTCTAGAACCCACAAGGGTCCTAGCAGCGTTGCTCATCCAGTGTTCATCCGTAAGTCAGTTGTCCTAGTGCTCACCAGTAGCATTCAGAACTACTTCTGTTTAATTTCTACTGTAAACGTGGGTCTCTTATATTGATATAGCCATATATAGTTGCAGGGTGATATAGCCAGCAGCTATATCACCCTGCAACTCACAACTGGCAACCCACTGAAGCTAAGCAGGTGTGAGCCTGGTCAGTACCTGGATGGGAGACCTCCTGGGAAAACAAAGGTTGCTTCTGGAAGAGGTGTTAGTGGGGCCAGCAGGGGGCGCTCACCCTGTGGTCCACGTGGGTCCTAATGCCCCAGTATAGTGATGGGGACACTATACTGTAAACAGATGCCGTCCTTCGGATGAGACGTAAAACCGAGGTCCTGACTCTCTGTGGTCATTAAAAATCCCAGAGCGTTTCTCGAAAAGAGTAGGGGTGTAACCCCGGCATCCTGGCCAAATTTCCCATTGGCCTTAACCAATCATGGCCTCCTAATAATCCCCATCTATGAATTGGCTTCATTACTCTCTGCTCTCCTCCCCACTAATAGCTGATGTGTGGTGAGCGTTCTGGCGCACTATGGCAGCCGTCGCATCATCCAGGTGGGGCTGCACACTGGTGGTGGTGGAGGGGAGACCCCATTACCTGTAAAGCGCTTTGAGTGGAGTGTCCAGAAAAGCGCTATATAAGTGTAAGCAATTATTATTATTATTATTATTTGTTTTCATTCTATACAGCAGGTGTGGGAAGGCGCTATATCAATGAGCATTGTTACTCAGGTTCACACAGATGCTCTCCCTATGAAAAGCCAGCGGGTACAGACAGAACAGGGGGATTTTAAGCACATACAGTAGACACAGAAGGGACGGGCCACGCAGTTTCATCCTACCTTGGCTCGTTTCCACATCAGTCCTGAGCTGCAGCAGCTCCAGCTCTTTGGCTTGCAGCTGTTCATTCAAGAGGGTTTCGGATTCCGTCTTCTCTCTTTTCTGCGATTGTTTTTTTTTTTTGGTCACGATAAAACAGCAGCCAAGAAAAAACAAAAAAGCTCCGCAATGAGAACACAGGCAAAGACTGACACAGCCTCAACTGTTAACGTGTGTACTGATGTAGCGAGGCTGTCCAGTATCAGCACAAAGCACAGTTCCCGACGGCCCTTCAACAACATGTGTTTTGGGATTGCCGAATGCCCTAGCTGTCGCGACCTTCAATCGCCACTCCTAATGAATCAAAAAAGAAAGTTATGAAACAAAAGGGAACTACAGAAAAAGCAAAAACCCACGTGATGGGTTAACTAGGCAGCTTTCCCAGGTCAGAGCTAGTGCCCTCATTGGGAGGGGTGTGGTTTTTACAGGGCTCAGCTCAGAAGATTAGTAATATAGGATGTCTGGAGTTTTGCTGCTCCCGTTTTACAAAACAGGATTTTATTATTTTACACAATACCCAGAACTTGCTTACCCCATGTTTCTGATCTAATTTCAGGGATTTTCTCATTTAAAATAAAGTGTAGAGGTATAGTTGTTCCACGTTTTAAGGCAGAAAACTGCCGATTATATCCTCTTTGTAAATTTGTAAATCAGTAGAGCCTTTGGTCAAGAGTCAGTTCAAACAAAAAGCAACAAAGACTTGAAAGCTGGTGCTATGTTTCATTTAGTGTTTCTGATTATGCTAAAAATATGTTTTGCCCCATCCATTCCTCCGTAGCTCTGCTTCAATTGCATCAAAACTGAAAAGCGCAATGTTTTACCAGTTTCTTGACTGACTTTGAATGCTGTGCTTCCATTTTCAGTTTTGCTATGTTCTTCGATGAATGAATGTAGAATATGTGATGTCTCATAAATAGGTACTGTATGAGTCATGCCATTTTTCCCCCCCCAGCAAAAGTATTCTTTTATTACTAATATTTGCAGTATGTTATACGGTGCTTATCCGCCATCTTACAAGGCTTGTGAAGAAAGTATACTCTTTAAAGGAAGACCCATGTGTGTACAGTACAGGGTGATGTGCTCCAGCAGTATCTTGCCTGTTCTGATGGTCGTTTGGCTGGAGCTAACACCCATCTATAACGCACAGAAAAAGCTTGCACCCTAGCAGATTTGTATTATTTCTAGACACAAATACTTGTATTTGAGTTTGATTTTTTGACTATTTTTGGCTTCTGTGCTAACGTTTTCTCCTTTGCTATTTTTTTGGCTAAATATGAAACCTTACAATTTCAGCAGCAGGTGCAAAAACATGGATGGATCATTTACGGGGTGTTTGCACGAATGATACGCACGTTTTGTATTGGAACACTGGACGGCTCCAGTTTTCTGTCTCCTACTATGAAGCTTTTTTAAAACTATCCCAAATGCTGACCCCCTAATAACTGTGGGTATGTTAAAGGTTAGTAAAGGTAAATAACTGATTAGATATGACCACAGAATCTCCCAGGACATGAGGACAATTCACCAGCTCCAATATGTAGAACTAGTACAATCTGGTGGAAGGAAATATCTTCAAACATTTGTGACTTCTGGACTTCATTACATCCATCTGATCAGTAGTGGTGTGGTCACACAGCAACGGCTAGTTTTTAGAACTGTAGCTTTAGTGCCACCTAGTGGTTGCACTGAGTTGCTGTAGAAAGTCGCACCATATCCCTGTTTCTGCAAATCATTGTCCACTCATGACAGCTACAGTACTGGTAGGTTGATACAGCCTTTGAAGGGGCTTTATAATCTTATTTAATTTGCAATCCATACTAAAAAAAATAAATCGCCCTTTTACAGAAAATGACCCTTAATGTATTCATTGGAGAACACACACAAAAGAAGAAACACAGAAAAATAAAACTTCAATCTCAACAATGCAACCAGTCAAAAAGAAATCTCATAAAACAGCTCCAAGTAAATGGAGATGTAAAAATCGTCAATGCCTGACATTGCTAAATTCTTACAATTGCATTTTGGTGAAGGCAAAAAGGGTTTCATATAACCTGGAACACAAGCGTGCAACGTGATGAAAAAAGGAAATATTTCAGTGTGCGTGCAACAAAATACTTTTCACAAAAACCACCCAATGGCATCTGCGTACCACCGATCAGTACTGAGAGCAGCGCAGAGTTCCATACACACCACTTTATCCAGCTCCCTCTGCAGGTCAGTCTTCTCCATGTAGACCCCAACATAGGCATTGTAGGCTTGATTCACATACTTGGATCCTTCCGACGTTAATTCGTGGGGTTTAAAAAGCTAAAGAAAACCGACAAAAGGAAGAGGTTTTTGTGCAACATTCATTCTAGAGAATTGTTTTGCCTGTTTGGCACATTACCTGGTGGACTGTTTTGAATAACCTAATTATCCCAAGAAGTGCTCTGGAGAAATTACACTTTATAACAGTGGTTTAGCAGATCTCATTTCCCGTCTAATATTTCAGAATCCTTTTCAAATTGCTTTCCCCCCCCCACCTTAATGCTAGTTAATTTCCCCCCGGTGTAGTATTCAACTTTGAGAAATATTTTAAATCTAAAGGTCACAGCACATACCAGGGCAATGAATAAAGAAAAAACAATGGTAATATACATGTGGCACTAATAAAACTACCTAGACAACAACATGTCTAAAACTAAAAAGAAGGAATGTGAACCTTTTACTGGAAGATCAACTATATCTTAAGTTAAAATTGCAGACCTTTCACATTTAAATAACTTAATTGCACTTAATATGCACTTTCATTTTAGCCTATAATTGGAGTGACCAGACTGTCTCTATGAATCTATATATACATATTGTACATTATTGATACCAATGACTAAAGATTCGCAAATGTAATTCACTTGCAAATTGCGGTTTGCAAGACTGCAAAGTAAAAAGAAATCTGATCAGCCGTCTTCCTGCCCCTTGTTTTCACTTCGGCTTTATTCAGGTAAACATATCAACTCCCTTCTTTTAAATGGAAACATTTCAGAGTCCCTTCTTTGGGATCAAATTAAGTCGGTCGCTATGTTACCAGCGCAATGCAGTCCTTAATAAATGGAATTACATGACGGCTACAAGGACATCACTAAACCCTCTTTCTCTTCATGCGTTTCTAGGGGTTCAGTGACAGCAAGGAAATCCGTTATAAATGTTCCCAGTCTCTCTTCCTGCCTAGCCATGTTACATCAAGCTTTACCTTCTCTTCCAGTTGCTTGACTCTCTTCTTCAGGAGCGCGTTTTCCTTTTCTGCCTCCTTCAGCCGTTTTTTGATGTCTTCATAGGCAGTGACAAGAGCAAAGTGTGAAGCCACGGACTCGTCCCCCGAGCTGGCTGAGACAGGGCTCTCCTTCGAAGGCTGCAGCAGGCTGTCAGCCGTCTCGTGCCTGAGGATGCAGATGTCGTCTTCCACAGCCAGCGAGTCCATGGTCCCTGTGTTCAGAGAGATTGCAGGAGCAGGGTCAAGATACTGCTCCGCGTGCCAGATGGCAGAACAGGCAGGAATGTTGCGCCACTCAGCCTTCAGCTCAGACTGGCGCATCCTGTCGAATGCAATGAGCTTTCGAGAAAAAAAAAAGTGCCAGATTATATAAACCACACAACTTTGTGTAGCCATGCATTGGAGGATGCAAATAAACACACAAAAAAACTCTCTCCAGATTTAAACAAAGCCACACTCTGACTTTTCTTCAAACTTGCAGTTATACAGATATGAACAGGCCACATACTGTATCTGGACGTGAAGATCTCATGGCAGAAAGCTTTAAATGTTTATCTTCCGCGGGCTGGCTAAAGCAGTGAACTTAAGTTCAGCAATAGTTGTTCAGCACGTTAAACATGTTAAAAATGTTGCCCTCCCAACATGTGACTTAAAAACTGACAATGTCCGTGTGAGATTTAAGCCAGAATACAGCACTACAGCTGAAAAGCAAAACTGTCAGGACCTGCCCAGTGACAGTAAAATGTTAAATATGAGAATTTCAGAGAGCTTTAGAATGGGGAAGCCACAAGTGTATGAATAAAAGACAGATTTTCACTTTCCCTTTGGTTATAGCCTTTATTTCTGGAACACATTCAGACAACATTCTCCAAATGGGAAAATCACAAACCAAAATTTGAAACATAACTTCACAATTTAGGCCACAATTCAAGTACAAGGGAGAACAAAAGCCTTTACAGAGTATGTACCTGCAGATTCTTCACATGTTCTAAGCCATGGGGGTAAGAACACATTTAGGTATGCATACAGATCTGGGGATTTTTGTATCGGTCTAGGTCAAAACATTTATAGAATTAATGCTAAATGTTGTTTAGTTCATACATAACATTATTGTGAAAACATAACCTTTTTATGGAAAAAAAAACCCTGAGTATTTTTAAGAATACCACTTAAAAAAGAAAACCAATCCAGAAATCCCCAAGGGATTCAATTTAATAACAGACTATATTAATGGAAGTTTAAATTTTGTGAATAAGACCAGTAATCCTTATGTTCCCCTCATGCTTTTTGGATCAGTGTCAGGAGCTTGAGATGGCTACACTGTCAGCTTACACTTTACATTCAATTTAATAACAGACTGTGTTGCGCATGGAGAAAGGTGCTTTGCGCAAACTATACTTCAATTTAAACTGTATTGTTAAGATCAAAGCATCCATGTTAGAGTAAACCCCCAGTACGAATGGGATTATTTAAGTTCTCTATTCTTCAATTGAAAGAGGTTTCAAGCAAGGCATCTCTAGAGTAGTGAGAGTGAACCTGCACTTCTGAATTGGGTATAAATAATGTTCTACTAAACCCAGGTCACAGAACTAAAAAAGGCCATTTACAGATTCTCAAATAGATCACTGCCAGCACTGTGCTTTAGTGTCCTTGGCCACAGGTATGGTGAATGACTGACGAATAAGGTCTGGTCTAAAGCTAAACTCCATCCAGTTGCAAGTTACAAACCCTCTACTCCACTATACTTGTACCCCCCACCAGACAGAAATGTGCCAACAAACTTTGTCATTATTAACCAGTGGGTGCATATAACTTCTGATTTAATGCACAACCTGGTTCAGGAAACTTGACAGCAATTCTGTATCTAAACGATGGGATCTCTAGCTCCCTCCCATCTAAAAAGAGTGAGAGAACGCACACTCTGTTTCACATCAGCTTTCAGCTCGTTAACAGACGACTCCACGTCTGTCCACTGCCAGGCAGGTAGAGTGTGATGCGGATGTGAAAAAAAGAGATTAAGTGGGCGCGGAAGTGGTCCGCAAACTTCTAATGATCTGAAGTCATGCAGGAAGGTCAGAATCAAGTCAGGCCGCTAGTGTCACATGAATATAAACGAAAGAGAAAGCACCCATCACCGAAAACAGAAAGCAAAGCAGAGGTATGAGAAACTGCAACATCATTTCTATTGTCACTTGCCACAACTCATCAACACAACCCCAGCGCCTTGTGTCATGTAATAAACCGCGGCCTCCCCACTGCCTGTTTTGTAAATTGTAATGCAAGGTAGCCTGCTACTGGTGACACCAGACGCAGGACATTCATACGTGGAAACGGTTTTACAGTGCCACCAGGAAGTCAGGCGTCACAAAACAAAAACAAGTTCCACTCCAAAAACCTCTTCCTCGGACAACTGACACCCTAATGGAAAATCAACGATCTTAAAAAAAAAATGCAACAGACAATAATCATCAGTAATCACGGCCATTTATAGTCCATTATTGCTTTGTCAGATCTTACCTTTCTGTGCATCAGGTATAACATATACTTCAATTAACCGAACACTTACCAGCTACTTCATCGGCGTTACTGAGACTCTTGACGAACGTTACCAACTTACTATTGCAATAAACGCAAGAGTGACAGGCATTTTTAACGCGCGATGTTAGTACGTTTGGACTCAATAAAACAACACAGGCGGTGATGTCATCACCCCCCTCAGGACAGCAAAGTTCAGACAGAAGCCGCAAATCCCTGCTGCTGCACTAACCAGGAAACACACTGCTGGCGCCCTCTGCTCCGGAGGAAGTAAAACAACCTCAAGCTCACGTCACTTCCGGGTGAGGCACAATTTAAAGTGACAGTGTCATGCGCTACCTGAGGTTAGAATGGGCATGTTTTCTGTGAGGTTGTAGGTCGACAGCGAGGAAATTACAGCTCTAGTGTACAGTTACGTTTAACCTTGCGGTGATTACGCATAGGTTTGTGGGTGTTTTGTTCGCAGATGTGGTTGTGAGACTAGTGTTGACTCTTTATAAAGGCCTGCTCTGCTCATGAACTACTTCTCCTGGGTACAAACCAAATCAGAGTCTATCCTGACACCTTCTTTTTAGGCACTGCGGTGGCTAACTCACAGAACCACCTTGCACAAGCTCACAGTGGGCTTTACATCATGCTTGTATCCACGTTTTCAAGTTTTGCTTTTGCTTTCTGTCTCTACCAAACATTTCTTCAAGAACTCTCCTTCAGAGTAAGGCTTGCTCTGTTTCGTGATTTTAGCAGGATTTTTGCTGCTTTTCTGAACCATCGATTGAATTGCACATTTTGAAGAGCGTGTCTCATTCTGAACCTTTATTTGCCCCTTCTTAGAGAGAAAGTGTGAGCTCGCTAGGTTGAAAAATGGCAACTAATATTGTATTTCTGCAACACAGTACGTTCCTGACACATCAGGACAAACAGCCTTTGATCTGATTTCAGTGAAGAAGTCCATTTGTGGTTGAAACCCCAACACAAGTTGTTGACTTTCTGCTTCTTTGCTCCATTCATTGTGAGTAAGATGGGTGCACATTTCACACGCTGTTCAATTGATATTTCACAGTTACACATTTCAACGCATCTCCACATGAGAAACGGCCAGCATGTACAAGTAATTGCAATGTGCCCCCCAGTGTAACGTACTGCAGGAAAAAAATATTGAAGGCTACCCCCAAGTGTCCTGAATACCACAGCTGAAACATGAAACAAGGTTCTGCAATACGATGTGGAAGAATAACCTGCCCAATGGGCAACTGAGAGCTTCTGAAACCAGTCACAGTTAAAAAAGAAAACGGCTACAGTAATTAAAAACAATGTTTTTTTACGTTTTCTAATCTATAGAGGTCATTGAATGTCATTTTGCAGCCCAATTAGAAGTAATAAATATCATAACTTTGGTTGAGTTTCCTGGTTTGGTTTTAGATTCTGCTTCTTTTTTTTTTTTTTTACCTTTCAACATGATGGACCTATTTTTTAAAAAATATTTTCTTCATAAATTCTTCTGTAATGGTGTCTTTCCTGGGTCTCTATGCTCTCTGGCTCATATAATGTCAACTTCGCAACTGTTGAACACAGTTACACCCCCACACAACAAAACGGAGCTGTCACTGAGCTATCCAAATGTTCCTTAAAGACGTCAAGTGTATTGAATTATTCTGCTCACATACTATGTTAACATGTTAATAAATGGTGCAGAATGGCTCTTCTGGTTTTCTGCCAGTTGTGACCCTCCTTCCTATCAAGCTGTTCCTATCTTCCCCCTTTCCAGCTGCTCTTGGTAAAAACCTTGAGGTTGTTCCGGCAGATACATCGAACACTTCTATTTCACTGAAATTTCATCGAGCTTCACCGTGTAAAAGGAGAGCACCTGTACATAAGGAGAGTGGTTTTGTTTTTAAAGAGTGGCTTAAAAACCTTTAGAACATAATGTGTCCTGGCAGAATCGACAGACCTACCTTTTAAGTTAAATTACAGCATTTTCTCTTTACTGGCAACCCATCTTTTTGCATGTCTTTATGCTGACAGGTTAAGTTCTAACTAGGGGGTCTTTAGAGTGTTTCATACACGCTTTTTACAACCCGTTCTTCGACAGCTTTACACCCCTTTGAGGGTAAAATTCTCTTTTACAGGCATTCAATCATAATCCTGCAGATCGGAGGCTCCGCATCGTTGGCTTCTCGGCCAAGCACAGACACTAAAAGTCTGAACCTGCAGTGTAGAGTCGGATTACTTTCGCGACAACACATTTCGCGTTCCCCAAGTGGTTGCAGCGATCCAGCCCTTCCTAAATTCTGCTTCCTCGATGATGAGGAATGGCCATGGTAACATTCACGTTTCCAAGTTAAAAAATAAAGTTACAGACGGCGACGTTGACGTCTCTATTATTTTTCAGAGGAAAAAAAAAAACGCGCTCCTTATGTGCGAATACCTTCATAATGGATTGCAAGCGGAAAAAATGGAAAAGGATGTGGAGCTTCGAGACCCTCTGCGCGCACTGCCAGTGTAGTTTTGGACAGATTGTGCTTCCCGGTGTTGCACACTCAAACGTCCAACAACGCATTTTCTCAGAAATGAGAAGAATGCTTAAGAAGATATTACCGTGCGCTTCTGAAATTTGGTCATGCTTAAACGGGGCTACAAGAAAGCATGTTACAACAATGTGAAGCATCACAGTATGTGCATGCTGTGGATAAACGCATCGATACTGCCGTTGACTCTTGTAAATCCGCTGTCTGTTACAGTGAAGTCCGAGCCCATGTGATTTACAAATTAAGCTCAGTTTCAGACTCAACCGGATATATTGTATAGCAATCATCAGCTCGTCAAAGGGTTTCACTCTGGTTATAAAGAACCTTGTAACAGGTTATATCTAAATTGATCGGAATAATCTGCATTAATAGTTTCATCCTTCAACCCATTAGTACGCGTTTGTAATAATTCCGCGATTTCGCTCTTTGCATTGTTTTGCAATATTAAAATGGTGTTTGAAACATTGTGATCAGAACAACTTCCATTTATTGACACAAAAGGTGCTACACCATTTGAGTAACAACAGTACAATAATTGTTATAGAGTTTTTTTAATTTAATGCAGCAGAAGCACTTTGACTTTGGTGAGGAAATTAGGAATAAAGTATGTTTCTATTCAATTGTTCAGGCTTTTGTTTTACAGTTAATTCATTCACTAGAAACAGGGTAAAATATTATCTAAGTACAGGTTTATGTTCAAATACTGTTTACTGCTCGAAATGTAAGTTTTTAACAAAATGATTTAAATGTATTAATGTTATTACTGTACGTAGTTCTAAAACATTTTTTTTCCTCTCTGTTTCTGTTTTTTTTTACTTTCACCCTGCTCTCCCTAGCCTGGCATTATAACCCCAATTATTTCTGAAACATCTGCATATTCCAAAGACTGTCCAGTCTGTGACTCGTAAGGGCCGGTGTTTCTGCCAGTTTTTGTTCCAACTCAGCTCTTAATGACCTTAATCAGCTCCTTATTGGATAACTGGACCAATTTAACCACTTCCTCTAGTTCTTAGGCTGCTCCTGCTTTAAAGAGCCCTTGTGAACCTGCAGATACCCTGTGCCTCCCTGTTGTGATCTTTATGTTAAAATAAGAAGAAAAAACTGAGTTCTGGATTTTCTGCTGTGTTGATTGTAACTGCTTTTGATGTTTCATATGCATAAAGTTCTGCACTGCTTGTGCTTAATCCTCTTCAAGTTTATGTCTCTGGAAATGGTCTTCCTAATGTATGAATTATGTCTTGTTTCTTTTGCAAGAATTCTTCAAGAAAATTTCTTTTAACATCCAATATGCCTCATTTTAAATACTGCTTTAAGATTTAACAGCACCTTTTAAGACCTGCAATTTGTCATTCAAGTCCCTCAGCATGGCAAACCAAATGTCATTTTTTATTACTTTAAGCAAAAGGGCTGAGACTGCCTTACATTTGCCAAGTGCATCTTGATTATATGTACTGTATATAATTTCGTCAGTATGATTGCAGCCAGTGTATATTCCTTAAAGTGTACACATTTTAAAACGGTGACACTTGAGATAAATATATATTTACACATTTTAACATGTTCTCCATTTCAGTTTCATTTTGGTCCACAGTACAATTGTCACATGTGAACATCATCTCCATCACTTTTTCAGATGTGGAACTCATTTTGTTTTTTTTTTCATGTGGGACTACTGTATGTGTACTGTATGTTTAAAGCTTGTTCTAAATTTAAACTGGGCTTGCTTTATGACTAAGTTTAATTAGAGATACTGTCACGGATCGTAGTATACTTGAACTTAGCTAAAAGGCAGAGAAGCTTGTACTGTAACACACAGGATTGGTGCCAGTGCAAATATTTTAAGCTGTCGTATAGTGATATCTTGGTATGTTAATATTCTACTTGTTCTAGAGTCAGGCTGTGGGACAATGAACTATTACAATGCTATGTTAAGAATCTCATTCTTAACCCTTTGATTATCTTTTTTTTTTATTAAAGTTTCCCAATTCATTATTTCATGGTAATGTGCCTTCAATTTACTTTTAATTGTAGATTTGTAATTAGGCAGGTTGATCAGTTTTCAGTGATTTATTGATATTTGTGTCATTGCTTATACAAAACTCTGTTTTCTTTACCCTTGCAGTAGTTATTAATAAACATCCATTGATTTTCTAACTGCTTTATCCAATGCTGGGTTGGTAGGGAGCCAGAGGCTATACCAGCAAGCAATTGGTGTAAGGCAGGATACACCCTGGATGGGACGCCAGTTTATTGTACACTCATAAACATGTTAAAAAAAACACTGTGTCTGTAGTCTTATATATGATACATAACCCTCTTTATTCAAGTATTAGCCAGACTGTCACCATGACAGAATGAGAATAATGTTTCTATTCAATAAACACAACTTGTTTTGTATTTTGCATGTCCTCAACTTTTCCTTTACTTGGTTGAAATGTGATAAAACCTTCTGAAAAAAAAAAACCATGACAATTTAGGTACCATTTTAGCTTTTAACAGCAAAAGAAAAAAAAAGTTTAGAACCTCGTGAATTGCAATTGTTGAGTTTTTTATTTTTTCTTTAGATATTTTATTTTGAAGAATCTCACCTGCGAGGGATGACATACAAAGTTCTATTTTCAGTACTTATCAAAGCCACTTTTCATTTTTCTGTGTGTGGAATAAAAATACAAAGCTTTTTTGATTCCCCACCATATTGCATGGATATGAATTTTAAAATTGTATTGCAGCACAATGTCATGAATGAATACAAGAGAACAAATAAGCTTTGGATTCAAACAATAACTGTAAATAATGTCTAATAGTAATTTTTATTATTATTTTATTATGTATGTAATGAGAGAAAATATATAATGGGCATAATGTTTTAGCTAAAAAAGTAGGTGATTCCATTATAATTTTCATTAGCCTAAATAAATAAGTAGTCAGAGCACAAGTTGCAATCTAGTTTTGACCTGATTGGAGCTCATCAGTGTAGCATAATCATAGTCATATTTTCAGCAATTATTTAGGGACATAAGAACAGTTAGAAATGGGAAGGCCATTAAGTTCATGTGGGTCAACTCATTTTTCAGGAGCTAACTGACCCAAGGACTTTACCCACGTGTTTCTTGAAAGATGCCAGGGTATCATCTTCAACAACCTGGATGGGTAAATTGAGTTTAAACTGCCCAGGCCAGTCAAAAGACTATAACAGGCAACACTGTATTTAATAGGAGTCTTCAACTTCAATAGTAGTCTCTGTGTGCTGGTGTATGTGCGTGCCCAGCACTGTGCTGGTCACCTGTCCAAGTCTAGTCCTGTCAAGGAATCGATTCCCGATGGTTTTCCCAGTGTCTTCCGGTTTTTGTCCCACCCAAGCTCTCCATTATGTCGTTGGTTTAATTATTTAATCAGCCACAGTACTGTAACACCCCTGACCAAGCTCTGAGGTCTTTTAGAAGTCACTGTATCTTTAATGAAGTAAGAATAATAAACTTTATTTTATATAGCATCTTTAGAAGTATGTTCTTAACAGTGCTATACGGGAAAAGTAAAAAAAAAACACAGCTAAACCAAACTAAAACTAATAAAGACAAGAGAGAAAATTTGCACAAAGCGACACAAGGAATTCGAAATGTAGTGGAAAATACAAGGAGGAGACGTGAATACACAATTAGATAAAGGTCTTTCTGAAGAGGAAGGTTTTGAGTCTGGATTTGAATGCGTTCAGGGTAGGTGCACGTTTTGAGCAAAAAAAAAATGTCTGAGATAATAATTAGGGTTAAATGTTTAATCAGCTGCTCAGGCTGAAACAAAACCCAGAAAGCAGCAGTCCCTCCAGTCATGGAGTTTGGCACTCCTGGTGTAATCCCAGCTGGTGCCCTGTGCTTCCAGGATAGACTCCAGGTTACTGTGACCCCTGTCCAGAAAAAGGCATCTCTCCGATATCGGGTGAGAAGATGGAATACATGCATTGTGATCAGTTTGGTAAGCTAACTGGTTCTGTTCAGTCAGGAAAGGAAAACTGCTTTCTGGGCAGGTTCGTGTGTTGGTACAGTCCAGTGATCTGCAAACGTTTCAACAAAACACCTGCCTAAGTGGGCAGTATAATTACTGTAAGGATTGATGAAAAAATAAATTGTTTCGGGTGCTCAGGGGTGACCTATAAAACCAAGATCAGGTTAAGCCATCCCTTTTACAGTATACGTATACAAAACAAAGCTGAGGCAAGGTAAACAGTTTAATGTCCTGACTGTTTTTACTGAAGATACAGAAAAGGATAAAAAGCAAACAAAAGCCAGTCCGTTCCAGACATTAGGAGAGCCCACCGCAGAAAAGCAAACTCAATTGACTTCTGATTACCTCAAATCACCTTCTAAGTACGTGAAGCACAACCCCTGACTCCACCTCAAAATGGGATCTGGATTTCTGACCCCTGCCGGGGCAAACGGGAGGCGGTACGGAGGCTGTGATGGTACCGAAGGACACGCCTGTCGCTGACATCGACAGAGTTTGTGTTGAGCTGCGTGTGGTGTCGTCAGCAACAGCCTAAGATCCAGCTGAGAAAGGATAACTTCACACGAGCGGGGTTCTTCTTTTGTCACAACAGAGCTTTGCCCGTTAGAAAGATAATAAAATGAAATAGTTAATAACGAACACATAAGCCTTTCTTGAACATGTCGCTGGCTGTAATATAAGCTGGACCGCTGAAGCACAAGGTACCGTCGTTCACCGTTATTTCATCTCACTGTCTGTCTCAGCTATACCGTGAATGTCTCGTACCTCTGAACTGCAGCATGTGCATTACGGCTCTAATTACAATAAATTGAACGTGCATCTTCGGATGCGGGCGTTTGTGGCTGCTGGAAGCTTTAATTTAATGGTTTATTTGAAGCGCTGGTATGACAGTTCACTTGCAGTATGTAGGAGAGTTAATGAGGAGACAGAATAAAGGACAGCACATTTTGCGATTGTTACTACCCGTGTGTTATAAAAGCTGACCTCAGAACCTGAAAAGAAACAAGAAACGATTATTATTATTATTATTATTATTGAAAATAATATCACTTTGCGGTTAAAACTTTAAATAAACGTTGTAGAGGGCTGTGGCTGTAACTGTGTTTGCACGCATTCGTTACTTTGTGTAAAAACAAGAATGCTGATTATAAAAATACCATTCTATAGCTTCCTCGTTTAGACCTGGTTTTAAATTGTTCATCTCCGGCATGCCTGACGACGCATTAACTGCATTTATCACACACCCTGCTTGCACACTAAAGGACACGGGAACGGTGAACTACACGCACGGTACACTGTAGCTGTGGCCGACCGGTACCTGTTGTGAAGGCTGTGCTGTTTGATATTCTCATCACGAGTTCTGTCAAGAGCAGCTCCTGTCTTGCAGTTGCTGGGACATGCACAGCAAGTCTGTTTAGCTTGTGCCGTGTCAACGCGTTTGCTGGAGAAGGTGCTAAAAAGAAAGGCAAGAGTGCTCTTCCGAGAAGGAAAGACGCACTCCAGGCACAATATTCGGGTCCTTACTGGTTTTATTGAGCGCTGGTTCAATTACAAAACCCTGAGATCCCCTCTGTAAAGCTGCCCTTGAAGAATAAATGACTATCGTCGGAGGGATGTCCCACTTAACGCTTAAACGTACTGTACACCTGTTACGAGATCTGAAATGTAAAGGCAATAAGGAATGTACTGCATTTGGGTATTCAAAGACAGGTCTGGAGTCATCGTAGGGTTTACTTAAATATTTCGGCAATCAGCACAGTAATGCATTTAGTTGAAATAATGCAATATGATACTGTGATTTTCAAGCTTACTCGAGTCTACCGAAATAAATTGTTTCACAATATTTTGGCGTAGAAACATTTTCAGCGGGTTTTTTTTGTCATCTTAAAACGTTATTTTTAAAAGGCATTCTCAGGGAGTGTCTTTAACTTTAATTTGGATGTTACACCGTAGATAACTGCTCAGCTTAATGCAGCGCAGCCTTCTTGTAGGTCTTTGTTCTACTTAATACTGTTGTGGATAGCTCTCAATGTGACATCTCATCATGCTGTCTGTGCAGCTTGCTTGCTTTCCCTATAGCCTCTGTTTTCCACAGCTGAGTGACTGGTTGTGTGAGCTGCAGTAGGCTGTGTATTTTGTTTTGTCCCAGAATAGCCGTCAGAAAGCCTGCACTTCTGTAATTTGTAACATCCCTCGGTGGAGGTTAGAACAAAGAATGCAATTTAAGGAAGTCACATTACAGATTGTTGTTAATCTGGAACATTTTTTTTTGTAAACTGCTCTTTTTCTCCATAAACGTTTGAGTTACCCAGACTTGTCATCTGTATCTTAGCATTCTGCTTGAAACAACTTTGCTTAAGTTCTGCAAAATACAAATCCACTTCACTACTGAAACATGCAACTATATAAAACCTTGATGTGCGCATCACAGTACCATCTTTTACTTTGGACTTTAAGCGGTTTTCCAGATCTTTTCAGTGTTTGCTTTATTACCATGCTAATTGTACACAGCAGTTAATCAGACTTTGGGGTAGAAATGCTTATTGCTTTCAACAGCCTTCCTTATCACAAATATGTTATAGTTCTAAGTCAGAGTGGTGACTTAGAAGTACGGTGTCTACAGGAAAGAACTTTCTGTTTTAATTTGCAATGATTTTTGTTAGCAGTAGCGTCTGAATATTATTATTATTATTATTATTATTATTGTTGTTGTTGTTGTTGAAAATGACATTTAAATTATTTGCATGATGAAAGTTTTTTTTTTTCATGTGAAAACACATTTTGCTTCTGCGGAGCACATAAAAATGGTTTCAAACAAGAGGAGGCCATTTGGCCCAGCCTGTTTGGTAGATAGTAGTTAATTAATCCAAGAATCTTATCCAGCCATTTCTTAGGGAGCTAAGGGCTTCAGTGATATGGCTGAGTAGTTTGCTCCGTATCCTAAACAAAGTTTGCTTTGAAGCTGAGCATTATGTTTCTGTAATACACCTTCTAGATCTTCAGTTTTCCCCTGGCTATTCCTGTACAGTTTGCGTTTAATGTGAAATTAAGATCTGCACTGCCCTAAACTACCAGTAACCAATGTGTTATACCTATGAATTTGACATAGCTCGTTCCTCAGTGTTTTATACAGAGGACAAGGTAAACGCTTTGTATTGACTGTTGAGTTGGTATCATTATCATATGTTTTGGCCAATTTATTTGCAGGGATAAGTGGTTTTCCTTCTGAAGATGTTATGTTAGACGTCCCTCCATTCATTTTCTAACTGCCTTGTCTAATTCAGGGTCTTGGGGGAGCCAGAGTCTATCCCAGCAAGCAATGGGCACAAGGCAGGATACACCCTGGACAGGACACCAGTCTGTCACAGCACACACACAGACGCAAACACAAACAAACTCCCACCAGTGCAATTTTCCCAGGAGTCAATTAACCCACCAGTATGTTTTTAATAATAATAATAATAATAATAATATTTGCTCACACTTATATAGAGCTTTTCTGGACACTCCACTCAAAGCGCTTTACAGGTAATGGGGACCCCCTCCACCACCACCAGTGTGCAGCCCCACCTGGATGATGTGACGGCAGCCATAGTGCGCCAGTACACTCCCCACACACCAGCTCTCAGTGGGGAGAAGAGCAGAGTAATGAAGCCAGTTCATAGAGGGGGAGTATTAGGAGGCCTAATACCTAAGGGGAGTATTAGGAGGCCTAATAGTAAGGACCAATGGGAAATTTGGCCAGGACGCCGGGGTTACACCCCTACTCTTTTCGAGAAACAACCTGGGTTTTTTAATGACCACAGAGAGTCAGGACCTCCGTTTTTACGTCTCATCCTGAAGTTGATCAATTTATTTTCCATTAAGACACAATACTGTGGCGACATGGTTCATATTGCTGCCTCGCTTCGCTTTTTGCACTGTGGGAGGAAACCAGAGCAGCCAGGGGAAACCCACACAAACAGGGGGAGAACATACACACTACACTTAAATAGCACCCCAGGACCTGAGCGATGTGAAGCAGCAATACAAAGCCACAATATTGTGTCTTCATGAAAAATAAATTGATAAACTTCACTCATGCAAGTGTGTTATCCAGTGTGCTGATCGCTTGCATATGCAGGATTGAGAAAAAAAAACAGCTCAACTGACGGTCATTGAGAATGATAATCGAGTAAAACTTAAGCCTTGTAGGTTTTTCCTTTCTCGTGCTTATTTCAAATATAAAGGAAAGAAAATGATTGTAGTCTACTTGTTTCGTGATTTTGTTCATTGACCAGACGTCCAAAATAGTTGAATTCTTTAATTGTAGTTTCCCTTGAAGCAGCAGGCCTATCATGCAGCTGTAGCTTTCTTCACATTGGAGATGCCTGAATAACATAGCAAACCTACCAATTGAACAAACTGACGTCTCTTTGATCCAGAAACGTGCTTTAAGACAATTGTAAGGTGAACACTGCATTTCTAAGTCCATGCAGCTGTCATCGTAGGAAAATCCTAGAGATATTTTTGTACACCACGGAATTCTGAGGGCTAGCTATGTTCCACTGGATTTTAGAGGGAATCGTGATACTTGGTAATGTACTTTAATAGCCCAGGCCCCTTTGAATAGTCATTCAGGAACATGTTAGCCATGCTATTAATCCTCATTAGCAAACAAAATTAGGGTCTGGGCAGAAAATGACATCATAGGACATTAAACACTTCTGTTCTTGGCTTAATAGGTAAAGCCTGAATTCTGTTACAAATTAGGTGAAATCATTACAATTCACTTGGGCTCAGTGAAGTAAATAGATTGATGAATAGCGGTGTTACTGTGATTCAAATGAAGGTTTAAATGCATCTTTGCAATCTAGTTGAAAGAAGATAGTGACTCTTTTGTTTTGTATGCACGTACAATTTTGATGATATTAATATGACTAACATTATAGTCCTATATATAACTAACTATATATATATTTAAAACAAAACTGAAAGGTCTGTATTTTTGTGAGAGGAGCAAAGTTTAGCAGACAAAAAGGTTTGGGGATCTAAGAGCAGAAGAAAGGTGACAAGTCAGAGGAGGCCATGAGATGCATCTCATTTGTTCGGTCGCTCTTGGCTTATTGATTCAAAAACTCTACAAGGCATTTCTCCAACGAGCCAAGGTGATAGATTTCAGCAAAGGAGTAGAGGAGTTTGTTTCAGACACCCAAAAGCCTCTGTGAAAAGTGTCTTCTATTTTTCTGTCTTGAATGTTCCTCAATTGAATTGCCTCTTATGTACATTAAAAATGATCTTCGCAAAGGATCTGGTTGTCATACCGTATATCTTTTATGAAGCCCGCCTTCCTACTTTGCTGTGTGTAACGATAGTCTGAGGTTGTGTAAGGCCACTGGCGTTCGGCTGTGTGAGGTAGGTGTCCCTCCTGATTATTTTCTCGTTTAAGTTCTTGTTCAACAGTGCGTGGCATCGTGTTAGCCGACAGTGAGTGAGACTCTGTGATACCAGGGACTTAAGTGTTGGAGGTGGGGACTTGCCAATAGAAGAAAAAAATGCTTTTCCAGCTAACAGGCGGGATGGTGGCAGTAGTGGTTAGCACAGCTGCCTCACAGCTTCAGTATCCAGGTCTCAATCCTTCCCTGTGGTGTCTAGCTGTACAGAACTTGTCTGTTCTTCCGGAGTTGATGTGGGTTTTTGTGAGTTATTCTGGTTTGTCCCCACTCCTGAGAGACATGGAAGATTGATTTGGTAGGAAGCAGTAAATTGTCGCCCTCAGAGCCTAATCGCTGGTCCTCCTGTGCAAAGAATCTGAACACGCTACCTGTCGTCATTCTGCTCTTCGAAGAGTGGCTATAGCGCCTGTCTGCTACAGCTGGCACTGAGCATGTTGAGTGGATACACCATGATGAGTGCGTTGTGGTGAAGGATTGTTGACTCCCACCTTCTGCATAACTTTTTCTTTTGTGCCTTGTAGTGTGGTTTTCCTGTCTCTTTGGCTTAAAATAGAATTGGGATTTAGGCTGCCGTGGCTGTTATTGGGTCATCATCTGTGGCACTGCCCTTTGTCATCTTCTCCCAGGCTTTGTCTGGGATCATTTCTGGGCAATGTGCACCTCTTTCCAGCCCCACAGAGGGAACAAAATGTTAAAGAGAGACTCTTGAGTCTGAAGACTGGCAATATCGTTAACCGAGAACTTTGCCTGCTGTATCATTTGCTTTATCTGAGGGATAGCAGAAGGCAGCATCTAGGTAAAGTCTCCTGAAGACATCGTCTGAATAATAAAAAACCGCTGCGTTAGTGTTTTTTTGTGTTCTTTCTTTGTTGAGCCTTAATGCTGCGTTAGTCTTGTAATGTAATGCTGCTGTGCCTCGCCAGAAACATTCCCCTTTGCATTTCTCCCCTTGTCCTTTTTTTGTTTCCTGGCGATGGTAGAGCGAGCGAAGATGGAGCTGGATGTAAAGGGGAACTCGCCGTGCTCAGATCCCATCCCCCACTCTCCCAGGTCTGGAGGCTGTCAGCAGCAGGACCAGCAGGATGGGCAGCAAGGGGAAAGTGTAACTACCAGTGACAGCCACAGCAAGGACACCACAGCAGACAGCGACACAGACGACAGTAAAGTAAGCCCCCCTTCCTCTCTATTTCACAAATCGGAGAGCAGGGTGGGGAGGAGGGGGGAATCAGCCGCGTACTTTCAGGTTAGCCCGGGGCGTGCAGGACGATGGGGAGAGGTTTTCGTTTCGGATGCCAGACAGCGGAGTCAGGCAGTCTCCTCGGTTCCACTCCTCAGCTGCGAGAGGAGAAGCGCCAGCTCATAAAAACTCCTGTGTCTGCTGCTGCGGCGCTGGCAGCAACAGCAGCAGGAGCTGCATGGGAAACAGCACCCTGTGCGAGACGCATGCAGTTATTATTAAACAGACCCGCTGGGGGCAGGGGTGGTTGAGGCAGCCGTGTTTCGGGGGGTGACCATGGAAAATCACAGGGCAGTCTCTCCGTTCCCGGCCGGTACTTTTTTCAGTAGCGCGTCACAGCGGTGGTAGGATGCAGATGATGTAAGTTATTGCTGTCAAAGAAGTTGAATTCTAAATTCTGCTCTGTTAGTACTTGAAATTGAGTTTTTTTTGGGGGGGATAACGGTACTGTTAGTGTGAACCCCTGCCACGGCAAAATGTATTCAGAATCAAATTGAATTTAACTCAGATTAGCTCATATTTACTACACGTAAAGTTCATGCATATACAGTACATATATATTTATGCAATGCCATATGGTTGTTTTTATGTTTTGATACCGTCAATTCTTTTTAAGCATATAATAATAATAATAAGCATATACTATGATTTATATTTTATATACAGTTAAAAAAACTGCACAAACAAAGCAACCCATCTCGCTTGCTTTATCATGTAATTTTTACAAATTGTACATGTATGAGTCAATCTGGATCTCCGTATGGATGTATATTGATTGTGTAGTTCAGCAAAGGCTTTAAAACGATTGTATGAAATATACGAATGGATTTGTAACACGTATCCTAGATTCTTAAGGACTGTTTTCAATATTTCTGCTTTGGCAGTATTTAAATGATGAAGTCTAAGTTGGTGTTTTGGTCGCCATCCTTTTATAATCTCAGTTTCACCGTACTTCTTGGGAACAAGGTGGAATCGATCAGTAGGACAGCTCTCGTATTAAATAAGGAAGCGGGGAAGGACTGGTGTATTTCTGTACCTTACAGTCCTGACACAGGGAGCACGCGAGGGAAATGAAGACTCATTGTATTCTTCTGAGGGTCACTCATGCCTAGAAAGTGGAGGTGATGCTAATTAGTCTGCAGTACCCAGGTGATGAATTTGTTAGTGTAGAGAAATTAACAGCCTACCCCAGTTTCCTGAGCTGTTTCACACATTTCATCCAATCCATTCAGAGCATCACTTGGACTCTTTCGTTTCAGATTTTCTGTGCTTACTTTACACTTCTGGAATACAAAATCCAGCTAAGATGCTTGACATTCACCCTTTGCTTTGGAAGGTCAAAAGAAAAAAAAAACAACACCAGAATATAAGTACCATTTTTACCATATCATCTGAAGCAATTTTATTTAGCTCACCTTTTACATCACCAAATAATACATGAGTATAAGACAGGTAAGGTGATTAAAACTTGACATATTCAGGAGGTCAAAAAGCCCATATTGTGAGTATATTAAAAATACTTCAGAAAAAACATGCTTACAGAAAATATGTAATCACTAATTCTCTTATTAATATATAATATACCAGCTAGCCTAGAAGCTGAGCTTATTGCCTTCAAAACATTTAAAAAACAAATCTGACACATTTTCTTAAAAAGAGTGCTCTGTGATCTTTTAAAATATAGGGGTGTGGTGATTTTCCGAAAATCCTTTTTTTTGTATTTTCATGTGATTGATTGTGAAAGCATGCATCTTAAACAGATATTTTTTAATTGATTAATTGTTCATTTTTTATCTGTGATCATAACGGCTTATTACCAAAACTGCCTGACTTGTTAAGACTATTTTAAGACTTAAGCTATGACTACTAGGTACTCATTGGGGATTGGATTGTTCATTTAAAGCTTAACCCTATGAATGTTTGCCATAGTAAATTTGCTGGAGTTTTTTTTTACCACGGTATACTATCATAAGGTTTTCTAAGAGTAAATATTGCCTAAATGACAAAATAATCAGCAGGTTTTTATCAGATAGTTTTACTCAAGATTTAATATAACCTGCAAATTGCATTAATTCAGTGGAGTCAATATTGTTGACGAATTGTGCACGACAGTGTTCTGTATCGCCTTTTGTACATCATTGATGTAGAACTTCATTGACGCTGCATTGCTTTAAAATCCATCCTTGTCCCAACGCCGTGATTAACATCTCCCCCAAATAGTTTGTTGTATTCTTGCCAAATTTGAAACCTCCAGTTGTGTGTTCTCACATTGTGGCTTACAGTTATGAGTACCGACCATCTCACACTGGGAAAATGTGGAGGCGTGGGCCCTATCCTCCGAGCCGCCCCCGGCTCGAACCTCATCTTTTAACACATCGTAGGCTATGCCGCTCTGTAGGAGGGGATCCGGAGTGGTGGGAGGAGAGGGGCACACATCACCAGGAGCACTTGCAAGGCGGCAGGAACATGGGAGGTCACTCTGATTGGAGAGAGCCCATTACTGGCAGCTCCCAGCCTTACCTGCCAGCTCAGGAATCCTGGTCACAGTGGGGTAACGGCACGACCCAGGCGCAGTCCCGCAGAGAGCTCAGCCCCTGGTCTTGCAAGTGCCTGTACCAGTCGGTCCACTCAGGAGTCCTGCACAGCACTGTGGCGGCCTACTTTTTTTTTCTTAAGCAGTTGTGAAAGTTAGGAAGTATTCGTTGCCCAGGTAAATAGCTCCTCATTGTGTAAGATATATTTCTTATTTACAGGCGGAAGGTGAGAAGGTTCTTTGTCTTTTCAGTTTCAGTGTTCAGTACAGATTATCACTGAAGCAGTGCCTCCATCTTGCACAGGAGAAATAAAATGTTTCTTTGTAGGTGAAGAGTCGTATATTATAGCTGGCAGGTTCTTCAGACTGTGTAATGTTTGCATTTATGTCTGCGAATTTGATATATGGAATTAATATGTCCGTCACTTTTTTTTCCTTTATTAATTTTAGAAATGTGCTTTTAGAAAATAAATGGTATCATTAAAAACATTTGTTAGGCTGCTGCTTTAAGGTGTTGTCTGTATACGGGTTGGGCTGGAGGGGAGTTTTTAATCTTTATTCGCTATTATATAGAAGAATGAAATGTATTCACAAAAATGAGTTGCAATTTGTTATTGTGGAATAACCAGACTCTGGAAGGGGCCACTAGCCCTTTGATCGCATTGCCATTGTTGTGCAGCAAAAACATGGACAATGAATTTTGCTGAAATGGCTACTTTTGTTATTGTGCCTATTTTTTCATTTTTCTGACATTCTACTGTAGGTATAGTGCCTGTTTCAGACTGAAGCGAGAGTTTTGTGATAATTGTTTTTCTTCCTGAGTTCCTTTTATTTTTCTTAAAGTTACAAACTTTTCAATAGCTCTTGGGAAACTGTCATTATAAAAACTGCTGATTGAGTAATGTTGTGATGGTAGGAATATATCTTTTGAGGGACCAGAAGGATGAAAGCAATCTGTAAATCCTAAAAAGTACAGCTAAGCTATCAAATTTTGAACAGTAATCTTATGCATTATGAATAAAAAATAGGTAAAATGACATACTGCATGTAGCTTAAACATGATATTTTTTGTGAATGCATGTTATGCATACTTTTCAGTGTCCTTATACAGTATGTTACATACTGGACATCTTTCATATTCAGCAAATTGACAATGATATTTACTTTGGGAAATGGCCCAATAGATATTGTTTTTATTCCTATAGAATCTTATCATATGTTACGTGCTTAATTGCTTCTGAAGGGCTTTCTCAACACTTGCCAAATAAAGTGCATTCTGCGACTATCCAGTACCTGTCTTATGGAAATGGTGTTTTGCTCAGAATGCCAAGTTGCAGAAAGTGTTTTGTTCCATGTCAGAGATCTTTTCTGAGGTTGATGGTGTCCACATCGGGTGACTTCTGGTCGCAGGAATGATCAAAAGCAATTTCAGATCTGTTACTCCCCGATTGCTGCAGGAGTTAGCAACTATACCTTTAAGGTTGATATAGGTCCTGTGCTGAACTTATAATGAAATCCACTTTATACTGATGAACATATCAATATTTGTTTTTACAGTCCTGAAGAATAATGAAAAATAATGACATGGCGTGGATGTGTGAATGGTTAATCTTTTTTATGTAAACAACGTACAAGACACTTTGTAGAAATTTGCCTAATCCATCAACGGAGATTCTTCTTTTCAGAAACGATTTAGAGGGTATTGGGTAATAACTACTGTAATTAAAATTTACAGCTGGTACTAGCCCAAAACAAAAATTTTAAAATGAAACGAAGCACAATGTCAGTAATTGGGAATTTTGTAAATTATTACAAACTACAGTATCTTAGGTCTCGCTTGATGTCAGTTATTAACAATAATAATGTACAGAGGGCTAAAATGAGAACATATTTCACTGAGATCATCTGTGTGGATCTTTCTGGGTAATACTTTTTGACAAGATGATTGCCTGCCATTCTTTTTGCTCCATGACCCAGTGCATACACAAATTAATGATAATTAATTGCCTTTTTTTTAGCATTGTCGTTCACTTCTGACTGCTTGACATTGAATCCAAGCCCCCTTTGGGGGAAAATGTATATTTATACAACTGCTGCTTGCGTTAATGTACACAGAACAAGTATGTGTGTATGTGTAGTATGTCTGAGTAGATAATTCCTGTTTTTAATTGCTTAGGGGATGTTAATAATAAGGTTGTAATAATGTAATAATGTTAATAATTAAGGGCTGCTAAGTGATTTCAATCCAAAAGGCAGGAGTTAGAAGCATCTTTAGATGGTTCCACCGCCTCCAGTATTGTATTAGTTTTAATTCCCATAATGCATTGTGACTGCATTGTCTTAACACACCGTAAACTTGAAAGATTTTTATTGTAAGATGTGTACAGTATGTATT